TCAATGAGCGGTGTGCAAGCACCGAGCCTCCTGAGAGGGAGAAGTGGGAAGTCCACCTCCAGAACACTTAACCTGATAAACGCATAACTACTTATAGGAGCCTTCATTACACATAACCAGATTATTCCCTCGCCTCGCAGCGCAAGCTAGTTTTTCTCCTCCAAAGGCACATGCAGTCACTGGGCTCTAGCCAACACATGAACGAGTGAGATGACTGCAGTCTAGTAAAGAACATCACATAAGACAAAGAACAACACATTGTGTTTAATGACTGGGGTCCACTGTATCAACGGAGTAAATTCAAGTTGTTGCTTTTTTAAACTACGTTCGTGCACTTTACATGTGGAGTCTGGAATCTAGTGTGTGTTGATTGTTTTGTATGACCTTTTCATATCTTTCATATCTCACACGTGCTTTTTGACTCAGGAACCTGATTTTAAACCTTCCAACCTCTGTGTGTAACTGTTTAACATAAGTGTGTTTATTTATTGCAGTTTCATACTCGCTTAATTATCTTGTTACATTTTAGACATTTTTAGACTGATTTTAACAGTCTGATATTTATCTGTCCCCTGTTTTTCTTTTTGATTTAATGTCTACACTTGATGTATGTAAAATAAATAAATAAAGTACAGAGGTGTGGACTTGAGTCTGACTCGAGTCATTAATTAATAAGTGCAAAATTATGCAGTCACATACACAACCATTCGACAACGCCAGTTTTTACAGTAAATCAACATTTTTACAGGCTGGTCTGACTAGTCTCGATCTGCACGTACTGAAAAGGTGGTGAATTTTTATTTTTTTTGTTTTGATTTCATTTAGGATAAGCGTTACACAATAAGGCGCTTGGCTGAACAGGCATGCGTGATGTAACAGTTTGTCCTCAGCTCAAGCTCTTACCTGTCGTTATGTTGACTGAAAGTGAGGTTGAGACAGCATCTTCAGCATGGCGACCGCCATCGCTTGGACTCCAAAGCCCCCTGCAGTAACAGATAGGTGACGTCACTCAGGCTTCATTCATTAATATCTACAACCTTATGAGGGAAACATTCTATTTTTACACAATATTTATTGACTTTGTACTTACTTTTCAAAATGTAAAACATTTAACACTTAAAGATATTATTTAATACATCTGAAATGGCTTTACGCTGTCAGTAACTTCAACAAGGTGAAATATGAGAGACCTTCACATAGTTAATGCATTAAGCCAATCTTTGCTAAGATACATATATATATATATATATATATATATATATATATATATACATAATATTCAATTAATAATCTGCAGTCTTTAATTATAGCGACCTTTGTTAAATGACAGAATCTTATTTTCACTATCACTTCTCTGATTACTTCTGTTGTGCAAGCACAGAAATAAAGTTTGTATTTGTAAGAGTGTGTGTGGGCGAGAGTGGGGCAAAAGACAAGTGAGTGAGAGCAAAAGTGAGAGTGTGTGAGTGTGTGTGTACAGTAGGTGTGTGTCAGATGGTGAGTTGAAGAAAGGGAATAAAAATGGAAAAACAAAAGTATAATCCTTTAACGATGATTTCTGACAAATAAAACATACTATATGACAACCATTTAATAGACAATTTGTTGTTGTGAATTTGTTGAGAATTCTTTTACATACCACCATGACATGATCCTCTTCTGGTATCAATCCACCCCCCATCATGTGTGTCATCATGGACTGTTCACTCTGTAACTATAAAATAAAAACAATCAGACTTTGATAGCACAATTAAATGAGTTAATGATCACCCACACTGTGACAGATTTAACTGAGATGTCTCTGTTACCACATAACAACGACGTCATCACAAGTCGGTCAAACAGGCTTCTTAAGTTACACTCATCTTATTTTACAGCCCAAATTTTTCAAATTTTCCTGAAGGGACTTATCAATTATAAAACCAGGTAATTCAGTACAATTATCAGCCTTTTTAAACTTTCAGCATTGCTACAAGTCGAGCAGCCGTGCGATGAGGAGGCAAACTGCTAGAGAAGATGAGGAAACATGCCTGTTATACATGCTAGTTTTCGTTGCTCTCTACCGCCTGCTTGTTTGGGCTCTGGTTATATTCTGTCACATTAACGTTGGGATAGAGGATATGTTGACATAGAGAGGACATTGCACATTGAGACTGTAGGGCTTTTTCTAAAGCTGGTGGCATTGGGACATGAAGACAAGTGTGTATCTGGTGTGTGTGAGTGTGTGTGTTGTGTATAGAAGGAGACTGTTGCCTGTAGAGCAGAGCATGTGGATGCCCACCCACTCAGTAGCCTCGCGGCCCTCGTCATTTCGCATCAATCTACAGTCCCTCAATATAAATAGGACAGGCGTCCTAAAGCTATGCAGTGGTAAGAGAGGCAATGGCATTATGCGTGGACCCTGGGCCCTTCATCTTGAAATATGACTACGGCAGCCTTTTGTAATAGCAGTTTCCCCAGAACTTGAATATCATTTTGTTAACAGGGTGCTATATTGGCGCTTAGAATACATTAATGCACTTTATAATATTTGACTGATGTGATAATACAATGCAAATTAGCAGAAATTTATATGTTCAAGTGTTTTCAATTTTTAACAAGTGAAAATATTTTTTCATATGAACATCACTCTGAGTGGTGTTTCCTGTGTAACAGCGTCCATACGCTGTATGTGATAATACAAATTTTAACTTTTTTTTACAGAATGGAACTGCCAGGACTTCTTTAGACAATTTTCTGTCAATATGGTACTCATTTAAAGTGCAGAAGTGGTACAAATGATGCAGCTTCTGTCTCTTTTGGTCCTATTAGAAACAAAATTAAATGTTTTTTTTTTTTTTTTTTCCAGAGCACACATCACAACAAGCATGGTGCACCAACTAATCAGTGTGCTTGAAAACTTAAGGGTGTTTGATGAAAGTTAGTTTGCCTTCAGCCTTGTAGAACATATAAAGTGAGATAAATATGAGGAAATGTATCCTGGCTGTAAGGAATTGAAGGTGGTGCACTAAAATAGAGTACAGTTCTACAGGGTAGCTTCCCTGTAGCGTCACAGAAGCTTCACACTTCATTACTGCAAGGCCAGCGACGTGTGAAGCCATTATGTGGGAGCAGTGGGATAGGGGACGTGTGTGTGTGTGTGTGTGTGTGTGTGTGTGTGTGTGTGTGTGTGTGCACGTGTTTTGTGGGTAAACAGGGTGTGGGGTGTGTGAGACCGGCAACCATAAACCCCCTTTTGCTCAAAGTGCTTTCTGGAAGCAGGATCAAGCATTCACATGGAAACATTGTTTAATATATTCAAACAGCTGGGAGGTGTTGTCTGCTGTCCCAGTGTCAAATGAAAGAGGACGAACAAACAGCTGGCAGGGCATTTTCTTGCTCCACGGCCCTGCTTACAACTTAACTTTAACAAATGGAGTCTGATGCACGTGCATGGAGCAATTCGTGATGAATCACACCCTAAATAAGCTCAAAACTGCTGTCATGCAACTTAATCCAAGACTCAGCTTTACTCTCCTCTACCTTAAGAGTGGAGCAGAGAAAAGTGTGTCCTCTACTTCCACCCAGAGGCCAAAAGCAGAATGTGGCAGCTAGCGGCACATCTGTATTTCATCCCTTCCTCTATTTGCACAGACAGGGACCCAGGTGAGGCAAAAAAAAAAGCGGTGCTACAAATAAATGTTGCCTCAACTTATCATACTTTTGTCTCAGTGTCAAACTGCGTTAAAACAGTCTTCTTGAAGATTTACAATAGTACAAATGGTTTGTCAAAGAAATCTTTCTCCTCTCACTGAGATGGTGGAAATATGTCATTTTATTTTAGTATGTTTTGAACATGATTGTGTTCTGCCAAATGGCTGTTTGACTGCCAGCAACCCACTGAATGTAAAAAAAAAAAGTGGGATATATAACTGATCATTTTTTGAAATCAGCATTTTAATTAGAACAGTCCTGGCTTGCCTTGTGCCAAAAGCCAACGAGTGAGTGCACAAGTGCTTCTGTAAACTGTGGTACAATCAAACATTCATTTTCAATCAAGAACTTTGGGATTTGTGGCAGTGGCCCAGGGGACTTAAATGGCTGCCAATGCATGAGTATTTAGCTTAGAGCTGATTGAAATTTTGGATGCTGAAGTTATTTCCACAAGCCGGGATAGCAACATGACAAAGTGATCACAGCCATCTTCATTTAAATTGATGTGTGTGTCCACGGACTACAAGCTGACGTTTAGCCTAAAGGTGCCAATTATTAACTTAAGTTTCTGAAATATCTCTTTAAGGGGGGCAAGTAGGCGAAGGGGTTTAGACTAGACTAGAGCAAACATCATGTAGGCTGCACAAGGAGCTCAGGTGTCATTTCACATTATTAGGCCTACTTTAATTTTTTTTTTTTTTTTTTTAAGATCTGAGCATTTATATTTTAAAATCAATTAATGCTGATACATCCCCAACACAAGTGTTTACAAACGTGTAAGTTATCACTTAAAAAAGAAAAACAAGGGGACATTATGAAATAGAATATTTTAAAAGGCTTAGATGTTATTCTGAATGAAAAACTTGTAAACATCATATGTTATTGTGAGTAAGGGGTCATAAGCAGGCCTACTAGAAAAAACAAAACAAAAGGACATTAACCTGTACTTTATGGTTATTTAATACCAGAAATACTACCAGTAAGGGAAAACTGTTTGGCGTTTTTAAAAAAAAAAGATAAACTCTGGCACAATTCACATGACCTGTCCTACCTGGGCAAATAAGAGCACCTTGTCTCCTTTTTTGGATTTTTATGTTGAACACGTTTTAACAGTGTGTAAAAGTGCATTGACTGTTGTTTTAATTGTGCACATTTGCTTATAACAATTGATAGCAAACATGATTCAGTTTACCTGGACCTCGCATGTTCTCTCGCCGTTCGCGCGGAAAACAAACCAGCGCTGATTATCCGTAGTTTTTTTTTTTTTTTTACCACAGGCAATGATAATGGACAAGCCCGTGCGCCACCGAAGGACCCCAAAGGGCCAAGATGGCTGCGCCCGTGACAGACGCCGGGGAGTTTGAAAGCTGGCTAAATGATCGTCTGGACTCCCTGGATGTGGACCGTGAGGTGTATGGGGTGTACATTTTAGGGGTCTTGGAAGAAGAGGAGAGCGACGAGGAAAAAGAAGACGCGCTTCAAGGAATATTATCCGCATTTCTGGTGAATATCTAAAGCGGCATGCCACGTTCTGCTACCGAGCCTGTGTTTTTCTTTTTTTCCTCTCTCTCTCTCTTATACATGTGTTGCTGTCTGTCCGAAACGTAACAAGTGACAACACTCATGTAAAGCTGTTATATTTGCAGCCATATAACAACGTTTAATGCGGCATTGTTTTTAGTTTTTTTAACCACTAAGGTCCAGATAAAAGTTGTTATCCATTTTTACAAATGATCTACACTTGATGGAACTATAAGCTTCTTTATTATTGATATGCTTTTATAATTCCTAGTTGTTTAAGTGTTGTTTATGCTAAGAAGAACCACAAAGTCGTCACAGCATATTTAAAACCATTTGTGTTTTTAGGATAAGTAGTTACCGACCTGTACAACATGTCCATATTCTGTATATTATCTGTAATCTAGTATAGCATGCTCACTGCACCTTGATCTGTATATTATAATCTGAAGAATATACTTATATTTATAGTATTTATTTATATTTATAGCATCCCATTAATCCAGCCATATATACCCAATAATTCACTTTTTTTTTTTTTTTTTAGTCTGCATCTGTAAATTTTGTGATTACTTGTGCATTCTTGCACTTTCTGCTTATTTGCACTTCTGGTGAGAGATGCCAAACCTCATTTTGTTACTCTATACTTGTATATGTGTAATGACAATAAAGATGAATCTCATATCATCTCTCATCTCATAAGCAGTCTATAAAAAAATAAGATTTGGAAGACTCTTTAAGTTTAACAGTTGTTGATCGTCTATTAGGTTAACAGAAAATGACAGGTACTGTCACAGAACAAACATAAACAAAAACTGTTTATATTCTGTGGTGAACATATCAAATAAGGGGATCTCAGCAACACCTTGTGTATCTCTTGTTAACTGTGAATGAAAACAAGTGGGAGCTCATATGTTACGCAGCCAACAAAACCTGACGCATCTGTGTTGATGCTTCAACATCAATAACCATTTTTTATGTAAAGGTCATTTAAGTCACAGGACAAAAAGTGGCTTGTTACTTTTGTGTAACTGTCATTTTCATATTTGTGCAGGATGAGGAATCAGTAGCCGACATCTGCCAACAGATCATCAAACAGTGGACAGAGCACCGCAGCCGGTCGGCAGCGAAAAAAGATGCTGATGATGGTATTTGTCTAACTTTGATTTATTCACGTTCCCAAATCTCATGAAAATGGAAGCTTTTTTTCCGATTACAGCTACTTCTGGGGAACAACCAAACTTGCATAAAAAGTTATTTAGTCATTTGTGTAAGAGAGCCGGCAGTGCTCATCAACTCATTTAAGTCTCGACTAAACAGAAAAGACAGCTTGCTCTGAAGTCTGTCGCCAGTACCAGGTAAACATACAGAGGAATTAGATCTTTGAGTTTATAAATGTTTGCTTAAAGTTTGGAGCAGAGTGCGAGACACTTTTGTCTCGGAGAGAGATTAACATTTTCTAAAAAAAAAAAAGGAAAAAAAAAAGATAAATAAACAAAAAAGTTTCTGAGACTTCAGAGTGTTTTATCTGGTCTGCAGTAGTGCTAATGCCACTCTGTTACTTGTCAGTGTTCATCCTGGAAAGAGATAGTGAGACTGTTTACTGTGTACATAACCATAAGGATGTGTATACTGTCTGGATCCTCAGGCTTAGCTGGGAATCAGGACGGCTCCGTTTGTTAGTATATATTCATATGGAGACTGAAAAGTAGGTTGTGGAAGTTGAGGTACTTTTTCTTTTTTTTTTAATTTAAACTTTGCTCTTTCTTTCTTTTCTGTAGCTGAGGTACAGGCCATCGCCAGTATGATAGAAAAACAAGCCCAGATTGTGGTGAAACACAAGGAGGTGTCAGAGGAGTCCAAGAAAAGGAAAGAAGCCCTCCTTGCCCAATATGCTACTGTAACAGACGACGAGGAATATCCTTTTTGTCATGAAACTAATGCTACGGTCCTGGTTTCAACTCAGTTAACAATTTTTCTTTGATCATGCAGAAAGTCTGTACGTGTATATTTAATTTGGTCTCACTCCAGTATTTGTTCTCCCTCTTAACATTTATTTATCCTTGAAGATGTGTTTGTTCCTTGACTAAAGCACTGAAGCTGAGGAAGAGGAGCCGACAAGTGGAAATAACTTTCCCACAAATGAGAAATGTATCCTTTCCAAAGTGGTTTTAATATCAGAAGCTTTTTTTTTAAATGTGTTATTCAATTCCACCGAGCTTTATTCATAGAGCAACCTGAAAACATGCAGCCCGAAGTGCTTCACAAAAGAACAGAGAGTGAAAGAAATAGATTAAAAAAACAAAAATGGAATGTAATCAAATGATTTAATCAGAATCTGCTTTATGTATGCTTACACAAATACACACACACACAAGGAATTTTGTCTTTGGTGAACTGTGCTCTCAATGTACAAAGTATAACATTAAATATAAACATAACTAAGAAAAGAATAATATATACAAGACTAAGAAAGACATTAGTGCAATGGTGAGTAGTGCAAAAATGCTGAGATGAGATTACCTCATGTATATTAACCATCTGTTACATAATCACATATACTATCAGAGTGTTACAGTATTTACATTAAAAGTGTGCATGTGCATGAAAAGGACAATATTACAGTATATTCATGATTAGGTCATTGAACATAAAATGTTTTAAATAGTGTATGTACATTGACAGTGGGTGATGGTAACGGTACTTCACAGCAACAGGTCTGACACTCTGTGACTGTTTAGCGTTCATCAGAGTGACAGCCTGGGGGAAGAAGCTGTTCTTACGTCTGGTCGTTTTGGCGTACAGTGATCTGTAAGGCCTACCATAGGGGAGGAGTTTGAACAGTTTGTGTCTGGGGTGTGAGGAGTCTGCAGTGACCGGTATAAGTCCTGGATCATGGAGGGCAGGTCGACATCAATTTATTTTTTCTGCAGGATACAAATAATAAAAAAAAAAAGAAGATATAAATGAAATTAAGAAAATAAATAACGTCTATACAACAGGGGAGAACATTTCAGAAAATGAATAAGACACAAAATAAAATAACGAGATATAAGAAAAGTGAAAATCTGTAAAAGCTGTAAAATCACTCCAACTTAAAAGTGGAGTTACTTAAGATTTTTCTTTTCTTGTTAGGACTCTGGCTGCGGATTTACTGTTACATATTACAATATAAAGAGATAAGGGAGTATTTGTTAAATACTGAATACATAATACATTGTTTCTGAAATGATATTTAACAGATTACTTTCCCTTCCAAAGAGTTGTCCTTGACTCAAAGTGTCAGCCCTCTTTAAGAACACCAATGTAGAAGAGGTCCTGAACAGACAGAAGCAAAAGCGGGACCAGGCACGAGAAGATTCTCAGAAGAAGAAAGAGACGGATAAGATGCAGCGGGAGAAGGACAAACTAGCCAAACAAGACAGGAAAGAGAAGGAAAAGAAGCGTACACAGAAAGGTGAACGCAAAAGATAAAACCAAAAGAAAGGACACTTTGTTTGGAAGAGTTGTTTTTTTTTTTTTTAAAGACAAAAAAGTAAAACAGCTATTGCCTCTTTCTATCTAAAAGTCATTGGCATCTTCAGTGTGTTAATTTGTCTTCATCTGAACCTCTTAATTACTTTTAGGAACGTCATGAAATGGATCAAAATACTAGATGTTGTGCAAGTTAAATTTTCAGATTTTTTTCTGTTTTGGATACTGATATGTGCAGAAATGTTATAAATGATTTCTTGGATTAAAGCGCATAATGCCTGTAATAGTGTGAATCTTAAGACGTATATCCAATAAGTTTTATTTTTTTCTTTAAGAACGAGTAACAAAATTAAGCTTCAAACACCTTAATCAAGAATCCATTTGATAACGGTAAAATAGTTTGAGAAGCAGCTCAGTCCAGAGTTACTACTTTGCTCTGAGCCACTATCTCCCTCATGCCTTTGATTTTTGCACAACTTTTACTTGGAGACAAATGTATTCCCTCAATTGCTCTGCACTTGTAGGTTGAAGTTCTACAGTTTACACATTTCCTCTGTTAGAACAAAAGAGCCGTTGCTCAATCGTACCTCAAAACATGTACCACAATTGAAACATTTATAATGAGGTTCATCATCTTTTTAAATGAATAAAAAGCATTTCAGCAAGTTGGATTTACTTTATTTTTATATGTATCTGTTACAGAACAAGTAACCAGAAAAAAAAAACATGAACAGTAAAATGAATGAACCACACAACTCATATTTAGAAAACATAGTCAGGAGTAATGTTCATGAATAAGTCTACAGGCTGTTGCTTCTAGACAAATGTTGTTTCACCTTTTTTTTCTCGTATAAAGGTCTTTAGCCAACAAACTGTCCCACCTATACTGGTATTTGATTGCACCATCTGAAAATAATTTGATGGTCTGTGTGATTAATCAATTTAAATTTAAAATACTAAACTTTTAAAATTTCAGTGTCAATAGTTACAGCTACAACTTCTGACAAATTAGAAGATAAACCAGTGTTGTCTTGAATGTTGAGTAAACACAGAAAAAATATTTTATAATTTAGCATATTATATTAAACTACTGATACAGCACAAGTCCTCAAAGACTAAAACTGGATCCACAGAAAATGGCTTTAAATTTAGCTATGCTACATTTCACTGATCAGAATGACGTTAACTAAATGTTTGGAATGGATATATGATCCAAATACATTTTTAAAACACTGAACTTGTATTAGTATTCGAGTATCAATGAATTGAGTATAAGTTAAAACTTCACCAGAATGCATATAAATAATGTTTTGTTATTTTTGATTACATCATGTTAAGGTTGCATAGGAAAACTGAAGTTGAATAAAATGGAACATTTGTAGTTAACATTGTAATATTTAGCACGTTAATTTAAGACTGTTGCCCTTATGATTAAACTAATGTTTGGGAAATACCCTGTAACTAATGTTCCATCACATTCCAACAAATAAGTATAACAAGAAGAATTCACTGAAATCTCATAAATAAAATCATAAATAGTGCCTTTAAATACAACGATGCTGGAGAGAACTCACAAGAATTTAGAACTGACACTAATTGTATGAAATGAAGTTAAGATACAGCAGGATAATTACATTTCATGCAATTCCTTCACAAGAAAACGTAGCCAGTTCCTGAGCCCTAAAAAGTGTAGCCATCATCAAGCTTCAAATTGCTCATGTCATATTCTGCAGTGATTGCAGTGTTGCAGGTAAAAATGTTACAATAGACTTGCAGGTAGGGAGCATTTTTCACATCCCTTTGCTGCCTATGGGCAATTTATAATTATTGTGTAAAGGTATGGTTTTAATTTATATCCAGATCTTAACTCATGCTAAGTGCCAGGAAAGGCTTATCCTAAAAAGAGTAGCCCTCTAATGGAGAGGGGCTCCTCCTTGAGTGTGGGGGCTCTTGGGAGGCAGTCTTCTCCTGCCCCTTGACAGGTTTTGGGAGTGTCATCTGGTGAGCACACCACAGGGCTGTACGGAGCTTCCTTGTGGTTGCAGCAAGGTCTTTCAGTGCAAAAACCAACAACAGAGTATCTATAATAGAAAAACGAGTCAGTATCAGTAATGTTTGAGAGAGGATTACACAAGCCGGCCATTGCAAAACAAATTACCTCTGTCCTCTGTGAAATGAGCTCTCTGACGCTGGTGTTTAGACATGTTGTCAATCTCCTCTTTGCGTCTGGCTTGGGTTATGGAAATTGCCATATTATGCCTGTTTAGTGCTGTGTGAATGTTGGTATGGAGGGGAATGTTGTGCAGACACTCCATTCGATCCAGAAGACTTGTCACCTGTAAAGCATCAACATTATAAATCTTCACATTCCCCATCAACACACAAACACGCACAGAAAGTTGATTTATAAATAAAGGTACACCGATAGGCATGTGACCGGAATCTGCCGATTTTCAGCCTGCTCAGCCCTGACCACCAGTGTCCTCACAAGTATAGCCAATTTCATGCCGTGGGCACAGCAACACCAACACTAACAGACTGCCACACACAACAAGCTGGCAGTGAATATATGAAGTTCTCATCAGCAGAGGAGAAAAAGGGTTGACATACAGTCGTATAAAGACACATTGTTTCCCTGCACTTACAAAAAAAGTTCAAAAATAATTAGTTTTAGCTGTTTATTATAGTGCTTTAAAGAATGAAAATCGGAATCAGCCAAAAATCTGTATCGGTCAGACCAGGTGAAAATCACAATCGGCCAAAGAAATTGCAATTGGTGCAACTCTATTTATAAACAAAGATTAAAGATTTAAAGATTAACTGCTTTCCTTATTAAGATTCATCATATGTTAGTATATATTTTATTCATGATCCAACCATGGGTTAATCAAACAAACCTCAAGTAGAATGAAATGAGGTGATATAGCTTATTCTGTGCAAAATGAAACCACAAAAACATGACTGAATTTATCATGGCTGTTCTGACAAAATTCACCTGTAGATGGCAGTATGGCAGCAGTAACTACTGACTCACCCTTGCTTGTTCTCTCATGTTTTTAACAATAAGGTGGTCAACTCTTGTAGGGTTCTGTGGAGTTTTGGGTATGTTGGTGTTGATCATTGCTGCAGTCTTCTTCCCATGGAATGTCATGGAAAGGATGGCCTGTATCTGAAAAAGAAAAGAGACAAGCCAGAAAACTAAGTGACACTTGCATTATACCAAAAATGAAAGGACATTATAATTTGCAGAGATCATCTTAAACATAGATTTCATGATAGAATGTAAATAGGTCATGCATAACTGATTAGATATGTATCTTGCCTGTCCAAATTCACTGACTGGTTGATCCTACACAGTGAATCAATGTAGTGCGTGTGTGTGTGCATGTGCGTGTTTGAGAAATATCACTAATGGTTATCTTTTAACTAAAAAACAAAACCAGATATCAAAAAGCACACCTGCTCTCTTTCCTTTTCCAAACACTTCCACTGCTCATAGCACTCATCCAGGTAGAAGTTAAGCTGGAACACAGGTCCTCCTTGATTCATCACTATTGAAGAAGGCATGCCATGATAAGTGCTCTCCCCTCGGTGGCTCATCACGTCACTGACATAGGAGTTGAAAGCTGCAGACTCACTGGTTGACACCATATCACCCACGTCCATGCCAGGAACAGCTCTTCCGTAGGGCTGTGTGGATCTTGAGCTGAAGTTGGAGGAGTTGATGGTAACACTCGGCATCCTTCTAGGGTCATTTACAGGACATGAGAAAGGCAAGAGCTGCTGTGTATTCCCTGCACTGAAGATGTTGCTTTCATCATCTAGTCTCTTAAACTGCATGTTCCCCATGGGGTCAAAATACAGGTTTTTTGAGAGGCCTCGCTTCTCATCTCCCCTCATGTCAGTGTTGGATTGAAGTCTTGCTGGGTCGCCTTCACCTAGAAAACTAGAGATAAGCATCCTCTTCTTTTCCTCCTGCATTGGTGGCTTGATCTTTCCCTGTATCTTAGCTTGCAGGAATTGCTGCTTTGTAAACTGTTTCATGCCTATGTTGGGGTTTGAAGCATTTTGTCTGTGCATGGTCATCTTGTTCTGATATCGGTTTGGGTAGTTTAACGATACAAAGGGTGGTTTTGGTTGCTCGAAGAAGTCTGTGTTCTGAGGGCTAAAACCAGGTAGATCAAGATAAGCATGATGGTTAAATGTTTGGTTATGTGCTCCTCCATTTCTTTCTATCTGCTCGGTCCCAAATTTTCTCCCAAGTTGCTTTTGGATCTGCACTCGAGAAGTAGTTTGTGGTGACATGTCAGATGGGGAGATTTTGTATTGTTCACCCATACTGTCATCAAAGTTCATGGCCACTGTCTGCCTGTGCATGTTTGGAATGTCACCAAGAAACAAGCTATCGTTCTCACCAGCGATGAATGACTGCAAACTGTAGACCAGTTGGTTAATGTCTTGTGGGATGTACTGATCATTACTGATGGGCTTTGCACGGCTGTGGTTCAATTGGTCTTCATAATGAGGATGAAAACCAGTGGGGCTTTTTTCATTTTCAGATTTCAGGACATTACTCAGATCAGCGTAATGATTCATAAGCGGACCATTGCCCCTGTCGTTGTCAGGTGACGTGTAGTCATGTTTTCTTTGTTGTATCTGAGAGAGGTAGGCATTTCTAACATCCAGCATTGGTCGACCTGATGGCACTTTCTGAGGATGGGTGTAGGTGTCTCTGTCTCCATTGGGCAAATTAAAATGCCATTGTTGAAAAAACTCCTCTAAATCAATGTTGACAGACTGTCCCTGTGTTTTACTTAAAGCCTCAGAGGATACATAGTTTGTAGGAAAAATTTGGTTCTGTTGTGTTTTTGCCCCTGATTGAGAACACTCTAGAAGTTCTTCAGTCAGTGGAGACCAGTGGGGATTACATGTAGGAAGGCTCCTAAAAGAAGAATCAAGAATTTTCATAAATGTTTATCTACAGAAAACAAAGGTTCTTAAAAGAAAGTTCAAAGTTATTATTATCTTGTTTTTTTTAAATAAATAATAAAATAGTCAGATCCAGCCAACACCTTAAAGGAAAAAATTTAAACCTTGACATACCCATCACTGAAGTAGCTGATCTGTGAATCTGCTTCATCCAAAATATTTGAGACAAGACGCTGTAGACCAGTCTCCCCTTCACAATCAGTATAATCTGAAGGTTTCCTTTAATGGCAAGAAAACACATTATTATCTTGATTTTACTTTTGATGATTGTTTGTTTTGTCATCATACATGGAACATTTAACTACCACCAAATACCACAATAAAAAAAAAAAACGAATTCCACTTTGATCAGAGAAAATAAATACAGTGCATAGATGCATAATCCCAGTTGTCCAGAACATACTGTAGTTACAAATTAATACCTGCTTTTGATGTTGCTCTGGGCATAATTGATAAGGCCATAGGGATCATCATGAGCACTTTGAGACCTGGGCATAATGGATGATTTAACTTGTTCCTGTATTGAGACACTGGGGTGTGAAACAATAGGCGATGCCAAGGTACCGTTGTTTGCAACCCCTCCACTTAAACTAGCCTGAAAAAGAAGAAACAAAATTAGTGTGAGGCTTACTACTAGCTTACTGATTTTTTTTAGTTTATTTGCAGGTTATCAATCAGCAAGTACATTATGAAGGTGCACTAGACTTAATATAACATAATTTGAGCATTGGGGAAATTATCAAGGAGAATTATCAATCTATCTGCTCGGTCCCAAATTTTCTCCCAAGTTGCTTTTGGATCTGCACTCTACTGAAGTAGTTTGTGGTGACATGTCAGATGGGGAGATTTTGAATTGTTCACCCACACTGTCATCAAAGTTCATGGCCACTGTCTGCCTGTGCATGTTAGGAATGTCACCAAGACACAAGCTATCATTGGAGGAAATTATCAAGGAGGATTATCGATGAAGATAATTATTTGTTCAAGTCTCAAAGACGATTCAGTACGTTTCTGCTATTCTGTCAGAATTAAGCAACTCAAGAGGATACGTCTTTTTTAATGATTCAGCAGTTATCAACCATTTCTTTCTCAAGGTTTGTTAAACCTTAACAAATGTCTAAAGCATGCGGCCCCCATCAACCCTCAACTTGGCCCTCAAATCAATTTTTACATAACAATTAATTGGAAACATGAAGAAAACATGACAAAATCTGCCATGAAATCATGAAAAACAGAAATATGTTCATAATAATATTTGATCACTGGTATATGTTGAGTTAAATTTGAGACATAATTGACTGTAATCGTTTTTTGTATGCTACAATTTGGCCCTCTGGCAGTGAGAATTAAATGAATGTGGCCCTTGCTGTGAACTAAGTTGCCCATTCCTGCTATAGGCTAAAAAAAAATGTTACTTGACTTTATTCTTCATTTCAGACCCATAAGTCCATACAGCTATAAAAAAAAAGCACATATATATATATATATATATATATAAATACAGGACATTAGCAAAGGGGTATCATCACTACATGTGATTACAACACAAAGAGACATTTACACCTGTGTTTCCAGAAGCATGAGGAATACCTTGTGTCTCTACGTCAGTCACTTACCTGACGCTGAAGAGTAGGAAAGAGTGAATATGCAGATGTGCTCTGATGTCTATCGAAAGCCATTCTGAACTCCCTCAAACTTTCTTTACTCCATCAATGTTAGTGGACTGGCAAAAAACAAAAAAAACAGGTTATACATTGTTAATATTTGATATAACAACCCGTTAAGTTTCTGAAATGAATATCAGCTCTTATTTCAAACCAAGCACACCAACTAGCTAAATTAGCCGTTAACGTTAGTTGACTAAACTAGCAGTGTATCTTGGTTTATCTGGATTTAACTTTCGAATTTATTAAAAGTGATATCTTGTCGGTGAAATATGGCTAACTTCGCCGAAAAAAAACACAAGTTTTAGGAATAAAACACGGAACTCACCGTTTGAAGGTAAGAAAACTGGGGGGAAACTTTCGGAGCTCGTCTTCACGTTATCGCTCTCGTGCCCCCCTCCCCACCTCCTCTCTCCTCCACCCGAAATACGCTCGATGTTGCCCTCGCGACCTGAGCGGACATTGGATGAGCTCGATGACTTTGATCCAATCAACGTCAAGCAGAATGTTAAGGCGCATAGCAACCATAGCAACAAGTGTTAGAATCTGCCCCGATCTGCCCCATATTTTATTCTTCATAATGCATGATGTCCACCTTACATAAAAATTTGCCAAGACAATAACAACATAATAATAATAATAATAATAATAATAATAATAATACATATAGGCTAATACATATATCTTAAGTAGGCTAATTATTTAATAATTTACTTTTTTCTTTATGCATTTCACATGGAAGTATTTGTAATGACGCTTGTTTCATTAGCCGTTGAATTGTTATGATACCTTAATTATTATTATTATTTTAATGTACCTAGCTATCTATCCAATTCAGACGGCATCATTTGGGCAAAGTAACCGGATGGGTTGCTCTCATGAATTCCGCTTTTTTTATTTCAGTTTAACTGAATATTTAATTTCCATTTAAAATTAATTTCAATTAAATAGTTATCTGCTAATTACATTGTACCATATGGTATCCAAATACTACATATATCAATTAAAAATTTTGATTGTAAAATTGTTGGGTAGAAATGAACATGGTATGGAATGTGTAGTTTACTAGGTTGTAAAGATTGCCACATCCTCTTGAAAATCTGTTTTTTTTGGCCGCGCAATCCAGCTGTGGAGTCGAGGTAGACAATATTATTAGAAAATACGACCAAACAAAAATGAAACTCCTTTCAAAATAAAAGTATCCATTTTTTTCTTCAAGTTTAAAGTGTAAAAGTTAATTGCCTCTTATTAAAATGTGATCATATAGGCCTACCGTCAACTTGTGATTGTGAATATTTTTCTTCATGGATCCCATAGCCGACATATTGTGGACTGGATGGATCAATGCAACTTATTTTCCAAAAATGTTTTGTTATCATAATTTTTTATATGTGTATATTCGCAATTTTTTTATATATTTCTTATTATATTTAATTGTGCACTGTGTGTTTCTTTTGTTGGCAGTCAATGTCAATTTCTCAGCTGTGGGATGAGTAAAGGAGTATCTTAACTTATTATCATTTCAAACATAAGAAAGTGGGGCTTTAGTTTAAGTAGCCTGTAGTTTTAAGTAACACAAGGAGAATCTAAATGATGAAATAAAAAAAATATAGCCTATACAAAAATACAATCTTCAGAGGGTAGAGAAAACTTTTGTAACGAAAGAAAGCTAAAAAAAAAAAATAATAATACATGCTGCTGGTTACTTTGCAAAAAAAAAAAAAAAGAAATTCATGTTCGTCGATAGGCGTTTTATTTTGGAGATTTTCCAGGAAGCTAAATGTCTTATTATAGCTGCCTTGACAATAGTGGGGGAGTCGGAGTTGAGGAAAAGAAAGAAGTCAGCCAGCAGTCTTCAATGCTGGGATCAAGGACTAAGAGGGCTGCGGACAGATCTTTACCTCCAGAATTTCTCTACTTTTTATTCCCCTTGCTCGAGACTTTGTTGCTGAACTGATGATAAGTGATTACGCGAGTTACTGCAAGTTAATCGGACTAAAGTTGTTTTTGCAAAACTTGGGAAGATGATTTTTTGCAAGCCGTTGTATGTTACCCTCCTGCTGCCTCTGCTGGTATCATCCCAGTATCAAGGAGACAACGGAATAGTAACTCCAGAGCATGGATTTTGTCAACCGATTACAATCCCCCTGTGCACTGACATAGCGTATAACCAAACAATCATGCCAAATTTAGTGGGCCATTACAACCAGGAGGACGCAGGGCTCGAGGTGCACCAATTTTACCCTCTTGTAAAGGTACAGTGCTCGCCGGAGTTGAAATTCTTCCTGTGCTCGATGTATGCCCCTGTGTGCACAGTCCTGGAGAAAGCCATCCCCCCCTGCAGATCCACCTGTGAGAGGGCCAAGCAGGGTTGCGAGGCTCTCATGAACAAATTTGGCTTTCAATGGCCTGATCGACTCCGCTGCGAGAATTTCCCTGTGCTGGGGGACGGAATCTGTGTGGGCCAAAACGATTCCTCTTCTGTCACTATCCCCCCCATCATGGTTGTGCCCAGGACCCAGGATCTCTCCTTGGTTCAAACAAATGAAAGGTCTTTCCGTTGCCCCCCTGTTCTCAGAGTACCACCATACTTGAATTATAGATTCTTGGAGGAAAAGGATTGCGCAGCTCCCTGTGATCCAACAAGGAGCGGTGGGAACATGTTTTTCAGTTTGAAAGAAATTCATTTCTCCCGCATATGGATTCTGGTCTGGTCCGTGATTTGCTGTGCATCTACATTATTTACAGTGACCACTTATTTAGTGGATATGCAGCGCTTCAGATACCCAGAAAGGCCTATCATCTTTCTGTCTGGCTGCTACACTATGGTCTCCATAGCCTACATTGCTGGCTACTTCCTAGGAGACAAAGTGGTGTGTAACGACAGCTTCAGTCCAGATAGCTACAAAACTATTGTCCAAGGCACCAAAAAAGAAGGTTGCACCATCCTTTTCATGATGCTCTATTTCTTCAGCATGGCCAGCTCCATCTGGTGGGTCATCCTCTCTCTCACCTGGTTCCTGGCTGCAGGTATGAAGTGGGGCCATGAGGCTATCGAGGCCAACTCTCAGTATTTTCACCTGGCAGCCTGGGCGGTACCCGCCATCAAGACCATCAGCATCCTGGCCATCGGGCAGATTGAGGGTGATGTGCTCAGTGGTGTTTGCTTTGTCAGTCTCAGTAACCTGGACCCTCTACGAGGCTTTGTGTTGGCCCCCCTCTTCATTTACCTCTTCATTGGGACCTCTTTCCTTTTAGCAGGATTTGTGTCATTATTCCGAATTCGCACCATCATGAAACACGACGGCACAAAAACGGAGAAGCTGGAGCGCCTGATGGTTCGGATTGGTGTGTTCAGTGTGCTCTACACTGTCCCTGCCACTATTGTTATCGCCTGCTTCTTCTATGAGCAGGCCTTCCGCCCGCACTGGGAGCGCAGCTGGGTCAGCCATAACTGCAGAAGCCTGGCCATCCCCTGCCCTCTGCAGACCGGGCCACGCATGACCCCAGACTTCACTGTCTACATGATCAAGTACCTGATGACTCTGATAGTGGGTATCACCTCCGGTTTTTGGATCTGGTCTGGAAAGACTTTACAATCCTGGCACAAGTTCTATGCAAGGCTGACCAACAGCAAACAAGGAGAGACCACTGTATAGGATAAAAGGGATGTGTAAATGTTGATTGGACTAGCTTGTTTATTATTACCTGTTTGTCATGCGGTAGGTAAGTAGTTATAGGTTCTGTCAGAATTGTTGTATTTCCCTCAGCTTTATAGCCCCACATGCATGCCAAGCTGAGGGTCAGGCTTCATCAGAAGGGCAAGATGGACAAACAAAGACTGAATTTGACTGTCTGAGCAAAAAAACAAGCATGGCTATGGATGCCATGTGCCAAAATGCTCTCCTCCCCCTCTCTGGCTCTTTTCTTAAAGCCATAAGAAACTCAAAAGGGAGAGATCATCCAGCTAAGAAACATCAGAGAGCAAGACAAATGAGCGGTAGAAGGATGGACATTTATCTCTCTAAAGATTTCACAAGAGAGATTGTAAATAGTCCTTGTAAAAACATGAAATTATATATTTGTATTTAAAGAAATTAAATACTTCTCTTCTTATCTACCAGTGTAATCACTTTATTTTTTCATTGCAATAATGCCACAAACAGAAGACCTGTTTCTTTTTTTCTTTTTTTTTTTATGAATGGCATTATTTATGGATTAAAAAATGCCTGTTTGATGATTTCACAGAAGCTTTCTCAAGATAGCCCATTGTCACTCCCCTTTTACCAAAAAGATGCTAACGTTTACCATTACAAATTATAAATTGAATGATTAATGCTTACTCCCTGGATCAAAAAAACTATGTTGATTTTTTTCTGCAATATTTCAACTTTCCCAAGGTCCACTATATCCTTTACTGATTGACTGGAGGAATGTCTTGAGTTATTTTCTTTGATAAGAGATCCAGCCATGATGTTTTCTCAAAGTGTTAATTGTTGTGTAACACTTGAACATCTGTTGCCTCAACATTAAAACATTATCGGAATTCTAAATGGAAATTAGCTTCTTACACAAGACTGTAGCTCTGTGGGGAAATGGAAGGATTGTGTTTTTAAGAAGACACACCTCTTATGTGAACCAAACTTGTAAATGTACTCTGAAATATTTCACATCTTCCTGTTTTGTGACTAAGAATCTGGTGCCTGCCTGCAAGAATGTGTCTGAGGGCTTCCTCACACATGAACACTTGCATCACTGTAGAGTGCTAAACAAAACAAGAAAACCTTCCTTTGCCCGTTATTGTAGGGAGGGCTCGGTTAAACCAACAGGAATCATCTGCTGAGAGAAGTCAGTGCTGATGTATAGGTGTGAAAATGTTCCTGCACGCCTGTTTGGTCGGGGGAAACCAAGGGTGTTCAGATTTGCTGTCGTGTTACTTCTCTGGAGCCACTGTGCTACGTGCCAAGTTGGAATCCCCCAAGCCGTGCATGGCTGAAACTCAACCTTGTCTGCGGTGATGTCATCAAGTAGATGGGTGTGTTGGAGAAAGTTGATCCTCTTGCCTTGAAGCAGAGTCTTTGGGCTAGAAACAGGCGTTAGAGACTGCATGCTCTCACAGTCCTGCAGAGGTTTAATTACTGCAATAGGTTGTAAGGATAGGGATTACGGTGGAATTACTGAGATGAGAGATGAGAACAGATTTTTTTATTTCATGAGCTGTTGAAAAAATGTAGTTTTCTTGTATCTGTATTTGGGTTTACATAAAGAACATTTTAATAACAGACAGGTCAGAATGATTAAAGGTAGAAACAGATACTCCAAGGTGGGCGGGGGGGGGGCATAAATCCTCCCTCAAACACCCCCTCTGCCTCCCTCCTCCTCTCTGTGTTCAGTCGAATGGGGGGAATGCGGGTGAGTCAGTGGAGCGGCGCTGGGCCTTTGCCTAGTGACAGACAGTCTCCTGTGTGCTGCTCACTTCAAAGCGCCGCTGAAACCTGACTATCTCCTTGTAAACAGTGCCGCCTGGCCCGAAGGCCCACTTCCTGCGCTTTACTCGACTTAATGGTTGGCTTGTTTGGCTTTGCACTGAAGCAGGGAAGCGAAAAAGAGTGAGAGGATGAAGAGAAGCGGTATGGGGTGGGGTGCGGGGTGGTAAAGGGAGTGAGATTGTTTTACGGTTTAGGGGAGGAGGGGTTTGGAGAGCATGATGGAAAATTCAGTATTATGTGGTTGCTATTGTCTCTCGCCAGGGGCCAACAACAAAGTGGAGCTCAAAAGGAGAAATGAGAAGAGACGTGACTGATTTTTGCGAATATTTCAGCTAAAACTTTGAATCTCAGATTGTCAAAACTAAACAGAATCAGATGTTGTGCGTCTGACTTTCTTCCAAGAAGAAAACGTTTTCCACAATTAATTCTTTCCCTGTTAAATCTTGTAGTGTGTTACACTTCCCATCTGGAGACCTTTAACACAGATTTTACCTCTTAAAAAGCAGTGCACTGTTGGAGAAGGCGTTCAGGTTTACTATGTGACAGTTCTACTATGTCAAACTGTTCATATTAACTGTGCAGGAGGTGATAGCTTTCTAATGGATTCTGCTGTCTTTAATGTTGGTGCCCAGTTTTGTGGTGGCAGCTGTCTCCCGTGTTGTTGATCTCACATCTTAAATCTAGCATGCAGTCATTTCCTGCTTGCTTGAAGGCAAGAAAGGACAAGCCAGGGATCTGGGGTAAGACAGGAAGAATGCTCCTCTAGTTGATATCATGATGTCGCTGTTATAGAAGAAAGCCTTGGCATGTCAGAAAAGGAACATGTTTGTAGTCATAAGCTCCGGAGTTCTTACTGTTACTACAGAGTTGCAGTTAAAGATATTTGTAAATGTACCATTAAGTTCTTTAGCTTAATAGGAATCCTATCAGGCCTTTGAACAGTCTGCAAAACACACAAAGGAAATCAGAAAAGGAGCAAAATGGGGGGGGGGGGGGGGTTGAGAAAGCGGGAAAAAAAACCCAGACATGTAGTGAGCCTGTTTCTCATCTAATCTTGGCACACGCTCAAGAAGAACTCACAGTCTGAAGGCTAACACTAGATTACTTGCAGTCATATATTATCCTAACCATAGGAGAGCAGCGGACACTTTCCAGCACTCCTTCTATATCTATCTGTCTCACCCTCCCTTGAAATCTCAACAGGAAGTGCAATATGTTCTTTCTCCTCCTCTCATTGCTCTCCGCTGTGAGTGGGATGGAGTGTAACAAGTTGGCAGGAGACTCGACGTTTGAATGTGCATTTCAGTTTCTGACTTTGATTCCAGGCCTGCAGTCATAAATTCTGCTGCTGACAGTCTCCACGAGGTGTCCAGCTCTGTCCATTCATCTTCTGTCCACCGAAGCACTTTTTGTTTTGTTATGTCACACAATACATGATGAATGCTCTCATACTTCAAACTGTTAAAACTTAACATCAGAATGTACAGAAATGGTGTTCAACAGCTGTTAATTTTCTTGGACCTTTCACAATCCCTTACACAATGTCCAGCATTTCTGAAATCACTATACAAAATCTCTCATACCATATTGCTTTAATGATGAGATAAACGTGTGTGTGTGTGTGTGTGTCCTAACTTGCATTCTTGGTGGTCCATTTTCATCGCCTTGGCTTTTTTTTTTTTTTACTGCTCATAAGTGCATGGCACACTCAGGGGGTGGCTGTGACAACATAACAGTTACAAACAACTGTTAAAGATCGACCCCTGGATTTTTCAGGGGAGTTCTGTTGTAATGCATTTGGTAGCAGAAGTAGAAAGTGAGAGAGCGCCTCAGAGCCTCTCCAGCTGTTGAGCGAAGAGGTGCCGACAGCTGCGTGACAGATATTTTGGGAGCCTGCATGCAGCACGCCTGGGATAATAATGGGCTTGATTGGGAGGGAAGAAAACAGTTAAAGTTCGTCCAGACACCACAGTTTGTATACAGCCATGCCACTCTTGTAAACTTTTGGTGTTATGGCGCAAGTAGCAAATGATATCAAGAGGAAGGATGGGCTGTTTGTTGTTTTTAAGCTACTGGGCGATGTCTTCGTTTTCTAATGTTTCACAGTTTGATGAATTTATTGAAATTTGAGGCAGAGGTTGCACTACAATTGTTGACATGTTAAAAAATATTATTATCAGGGTAGACCATCCCCCAACAAGTTTGGTGTTACAATATCTATACTGATGAAATTTGTGTCAAATTTAAAATAATGAAATGTTTGTTTCTCATGTTTCATTAATTCATGCAGCTCATAATGAATTGTATTGTATTTGCTTTTATACATATACATAAAAGATCAATAACAACAGAAAGATTTCACTTTGTTAGCATAGGTCATTTTGAGACTGTTGAGCATAAATCCTGACTACAGTCCTCTTGACGAAGAGGAAATACTGCAACAATAATTCCTTTATTATGTTATTTGCCTCCTCTTTGCAAAGCCTGTTCCGATCCAAACAGCCATAGGGAGGAAGTAAAAAATTACGATAACTAATAACAGTAATGGGCAGCAGGAGATTTTTCTTTTTTAAAGAGTCTAGAAAGGCAACAGTTAAACCGCTGTAAAAGAAGTAGCAGTAAAATGTCTCTTTATGCCTTGTAAATGCAGCACAGGAGCACTCTGAGCACCTGCATCTCCAGGTAAACACGAGTGTTACATAGAAAGAGGGAGCTCTAATCCAGTCTGTGGCTGCAGCCAGTCTCCTGTGGGCCTCACTAAGGCCTCAGGCTTCCTCGATGACTTATTGAGTTGGCTCCTCTCTGGCGAGCGCCGGCCCCCCTTTTTAAATGGAGGTGCTCTTAACAGCTCTTTCTGAGGAATTTACAGCCCTGGCCCCGTCCCACTCAGTCCAGGAGAGGGGAGGCAGGGAGGGAGGCACACTGCATCCTTGTCCCAACACAGCCAGTAGTGGAAATGTACAGCTTCAGGCAAGGTGGCAGCAGAGCTCCTGTTTAAGAATGTGTGCGTGCCCATTTGTCTCTCTATATATCTGTGTGTGTGTGTGTGTGTGTGAGTTTTCTTGGCCTTACATGCTTCTGAGCGTGTGTTCGTGCATGTTAACCTAAGTAAATGAGTGAGTGGTTATGGGAGGGCTCCAACTCTGTAGGTTTTTCTCTGTAATTTCACTCTCTGCACAGCGTAATCGCTTCCATGTGGGCCCACACCAACAACAGAGTGGTTGAGGGCCTCATTGCAAAGGTGGGAGTTACACACATACAGGCTTTCAAATGCTCCCTCTCATTGAAAAGGACTGCCAAGACTGTTCACGAATGTGTCAGACGCCAAAAATATCTTTTCTATTTACTAAAATCAGTTTCACTTACACCCTATTATATATTTATTGTTCGATTCTTTTTTTTTTTAGAGTTAAAACACAGAGCTGTTTTGGGTTAAAAGCACAAACATTTGGAGTCTCAGACTAGCAGGTAAAAAAATGATCTAAATCCTATCTCTCAATTTGTGAAATTGCAAGACATGCTGCTTGCCTTATGAATGCTAGTCATTTCCTATTGTTTTTCTTTACATACTGTGCTGTTTGTAGTGTCTCCCACCTCACATGTTGAACTGTGGGCCTGGAACACCCCGAGCACTGCAGGGCCAGACAGTCACGGTCAATGTGTGAAACCAACAGAGCGAAAAACAACAGGACCTTTTGCACGACAGCGGGTCAGCATTTAAAAACACCTCTATGAAGCCAGTTAGCTGTTTCAGCCGCAAGGGAAAAGAAATTATAAGTTGCAAGAGTGCCTGATAGGAGAGATGGTATTTTAGGAAGTATGTACAGTACAAGTCATACATGTAAAGACAGGGGCAGTGCAATGTGATCCCACTAGGGACTGACCTTTAAATAACCATTTGGTGCTTCAAACATTACATTCTGAGATCTGATTATTGTTGCAGCTCATGTTAATATTGTCATGGTGAACAACACCCCCTGCTGTTTTATGTGACGCTACAATACAACCTATAAATATCCAAACATATACAGCATGAATAAATGGCCCCTCAGCAAGATGAAATTGTTTTGTCACCTCGACTCACCTTTGACATGATGCATAAATCAGATTGTCCTTTTTCCCCCCAAAGAAGGGCTCTCTGCAGAAACACATCATCATCAGTGGGAATAGACAGAGTTAGTTTGGCCATCAGGCTACACAGCAGCTTTGGTCTCAGTGCGTACATACTCTCAGTAGTACAGCCAGAGGCCATTTATGACTGTTTGTCCAGCCAGCCTGAGCTGCTGTCAGGGGTCACTGTGTTACATTTGTCATGGTGCCTTGGAAGCTATGTGATATTTTTTTTGCTGAAAAGTGGCCTGGACTGTGGAAGTGTATAGTTTTTGAAAAATGTTTAATGAGCACTGGCACAAGAATAAGCAAAAGTAGCAATAAAACCAAATATAAATACAACTTTAAATCTCATTCAAAACTTAAATTGAAAGTACAAAAGTATTTGCTCCAAAATGTGCTTTCAGTTCCAAAAGTCTATTATATGAAAGCAACGTCTTACTGTTGCAGTATGAGGGAGGGGCTAATTATTTCAAGCCCCATGCTTTGAACTTCAGTGGTACATTTTCAATATTGATGTTTTGCCACAGGGGGGTGCTATAGTGCCATATTAGGCTTTTCTGAAAGTGTACTGTACACCTCTGGTACCTCTGGTAATTTATTGGCCTGTGCCTTTGGTGATATACAGTGTTTGTTTCTGCTCTAGGTTCAGGTAATATTTCATTTCTAGATGTCATTATGAGACACAAAGCACTTACTTATCCAGGACAGGACAGACTGCAGCTAAAAAGTCTGATGCCATGTTTTAAAGTTAGGGGTTTAAGACCAAACTGGATATTGCAGCCTTACACAGAATACATTTATGATGGAAAATATATGTAAAAAAAAAAGTATTTAATTGAACACGAATTGCTTCATACAGTTGGCCTCTAGATGGTGCAAGAGCCTTCCTTCTCTGAGATAGTGATTATCTGAGCATGCTTTTTTAGATCATAACTGTCAACTTCACTCTTTTTTTTTTTTTCTGGCATACTCAACCTAACTCTGTCACGCTTCATTGGAATCACATGTTGATACAAGTTTTTGCAGAAAGCAAACAGAGAGATATTCAGAGGGCACCGGATAAGTTGCACAAACCTGTTCATGTAAATGTTGTTCCATTCATTATAATGTCAGAAATGTAATTTGAAGGACTTAAAGTTTGTTCAAGCTTTCATTAAACCTATCCTGTTTTTTGCTCTTGTTTCATGGTTTGGTAACCTGACTTTAAATATGAAACGCTCTTAATCAAATTATCAAGTGGGCGAGCAAACTCTTAGGTGTGTTTCAATCCAACATATCAGATCCTTATTCTTTACAGCTGCAGCTTTAGACAAACTTTATTCTCCATGCCTGTTCTCACCCCTTAAATGAGGAGTTTCAGCTTCTCTGGCTGTCGTTTTGTTGCTCCTAAGGGGAGAACAAGCAAAAAACAGGCAAAAAATGTCTTTCTAATCTTGTATTTGTATCTTTATGTGTTGGTATGTATCTTTGGAATGCTGATCTCCTGTCTACATAACACATTTACCTTTCTAGGTACCAATAAAGAACTTGAACTTTGAACCTTGAACCTAATGTAGGTCATATTCAGATTCAGATTCAGATAACTTTATATATCCCAGAAGGGCAATTCAGTTTCACAGCCGACTGAGTCATTGGAAGAAACCAAGATTACAAAAAGGAAACACACACAGTCACAGCAGCGTTCAGACAATTACATTCACATGTCAGTAATAACAATTCAACAGAAGAACAGGTCGTTCATATTAATATTCTCGAAGAACATAAATTGTAAACATCTGTTAATTGCCACTTATTGACAATACAATACATATTTCTATTAGTTATATTCTATTAGTATACTTTTTTTTTTTTTTTTTACACTTTTTCCAGTGAATTCAGTAATTTTACTCAACTTCAAGCAATTGTCTGATGTTAAAGGTTTTTTTAATGAACTTATTGAAAGTAGATTTTTATTTTAACAGTTGACAAGAAACAAATGGACATGGTTCCAATCTGTACGAAACAGACAGGTGTTGTTTTTCATTCTGTCTTTCATTATAAAATAAATACTTGATTTCTCATGTCATTGTCAGTTTTTGCATTCACTCAAATGAAATCCGTTTCAGTTTTAAAGCTCTACACAGATTCCTGTCCATTGACTGAATTCTTTCTCCCCTCTGCTGTGCCTATCTTATGTCTACATCTCTGCCCTTTTTCTCTTTTATCACAGCAATAATTTCCAGACAGAGCAGACTACCTGCATGCATACCATCTACTGGTGGAAGCTGCAGTCTGTACTGTGAAGAGAGAGAGAGAGGGGGGGGGGGGGTCAGTCAGCATGTCTCCCCCCCTGCTCTAGACTCTATTGTGTGCAGTAAGTCGTCCTTTGCCTAAATGACATTAATTATGCTCCTATTGGCCAGGGCTCTGTGGGAGAACTGCAGCATTATCACTCTGTTTCCTCCTAATGAGGGTCTCTGCTAAATCTCTCTGCATGTGTTTTCTTTTTCCAGGGTAGCTGTCACTTCCTATTTAAAGCTTTGAGTCAGATGTCATTAGATACAGTATCTGTCATAATATGCAATGTGTATGACATGCTGACATGTTTTTGTAAAGTAACACCACTGTCACAACAATTAAAACCTTCACGTGAAGGCTCCATTAACAATATTACATTCAGACCGGAGTCCTAAACTTAAAAAACAAGTTGTATTATTGAATGCAATAGCAAAACCCCTTACAAAACGTGATCATCGGTGACAAAAGGTGGGAAAAGAAAGACAGAATGTGTTATTAGGCAGAGACTGGCCACTTTCAACAGCGCTGCTGAAATGACCGTGTGCTTAACAGTGATACATTCCAGAAATTAGGTCAACACTGAAAATGTAGGCAAGTGCAATGTCATTTAATGTCATAAAAAATGTCATAAAAAGTTTTTTATTTATTGTTTATGGCAGGTAGTATCATTCAGACTTAAGTTGTGTGGCTTTAATCGAGTTCCCCATAGACTGTATTGGGTTTTTGCACCAGAGCGGGTTTTGGATCAAATAACAGCTCTATTTAAAATGTGAAATCAAAACTATCAGGGCACTATTTTTCAGGATGGCTTTTATCTGTTTTTGCAAATAAACTCTTCATATATCAAAAACATCCGTACAATGTTTTTTTTTCTGTGAGTGAAGGCTTTTGGCAAATGTTTGATTTTGAAATTCTTCCGTCACAGAAACTAAAACAAGCCCCTCAAAGGAAATGTCTGTGTGATCACTGATGTGGAATTGAGGAAGCTGGTGTGGGAGCGGAATGAAAAGAGATGTTATAATCACCTCAGTGGGCTTCTGCTGTGAGTTCACTGAAGGGGGGATCCCTACAGGTTGATCATTATGACACATTTTATTCCCTGCATCGCAACTATTTAAAGACAGCAGATTGTGTGATGTGTTAATAGTCTAAACCACACTTATATAGAACAACAGTGGGCCACACATGAGACATCATGGTTACCATAGCAGCAGGTGGTTTTGTGCAGGGGCACTGTTACCCTGGAACTGTTCGTCCTGTTGTCCTGTGGGGCCGGGTTTGGGACTTAAAGAACCACAAGATTTATGAGCCTGTTGTTCTTAATCATAGCTTTAGAGCTACATGCATTAGAATGAACATTTGCTTTAGAAGCGTCTCTGGCATCACAAAGTTCAGTTGCAGCATTGATAAGTAAGCGGGCAAACAGCACAATCGATAAAGCACAGCATTCGACAAACAGCACACAATATGACCTTTGGCTGTGTGGATAGATAAGCCTATTCCTTCTTTCCCTTCCATTTTCCCTTGTTTATGTGCAGTATGTGCATTAGACATGGTAATAAAGACCAGGGTTTGAGTAGTGGGAGGAGGATCAGGCATTAGAGTAACTATGGAGAGACAAGGAGAGTGCTGCCTGACCTGAGAAAGCTGGAGTAAAACAAAAAGATTTGTTTTGTAGGTGGAGTCAGTGTAGATCAGGGGAGGGTGAGAAATGACGACTTTGAACATGTGCATAGAAGTGTGAGGAGTGAGGTTTAGAGCTGCACTAGCTGAAGCAGGGAGTGAGAAAGACACTCAGAATAGTATTGTTTTTTTTTTTTTACAGAAGCTGCAGAGGCCCACAAGGCTGCAACAAAAAAAAAGGAAGTAAGATAATCAGCTTGGGAAATGACAGTGTAAATTATTTGCTGTAGCTCCGCTCAGAAAGCAGGGAGGTCTTACCATAGAAATGAACGGTGATGGCAGCAAACAGCGTTATGTGTCTACTTTCAGGATGCACATCAAGCCACCCTGTGCATCCTCTGCATCAGGGAAGCAGTCAAGATCAAATGACACAAGGACTTTAGAAAAATCTTCTGACGCAGGTAAGTGCAGCACTAAGGAGAGAGAGGGAAGGGGGCTGAATAATGTAGGCGTGTGTGTTTGTGTTGGAAGAGTCAGCCTAGTAGGTAGCGGTTAACATGTTATTAATGTGGACATTTCAATAGACAAGTCTGAACATGGTGATGCTTCCAGATAACACTGCTAACACAGATTGCTTTCAATTTTCTAAAGTTTTCTGTTGCTGCAAAAATAAGAAGAAAGTGCAAGTGTGTTCCCTCAAAGTTAATATCCATTGTTACGTTTGTCTTGAATGAGAGTGTCCAAACAACAGATCTGAATGTTTATCGTGCCTGGGGCCTTTCGTTTCCATGTCAGTACTATAACATTGTTTTGCTGTCAAAGCTCTAAAAAGAGTTAATTAAACCTAATTGAACAAAGCTAAATATTTTATTTAAGCTGTATATGATTCACCTGTCAACATAGCCACTATGTCTGCTTCTTCTACAGTATTTTAGACATCAAAATACCAGGAAGTGATACAAATAAACTTTTGAGCCATCTTGACCATATACAGTTTCCTTTTCAACAGCTATGGGTTTTTTTTTTTTTTAACGCAGCCTGTTAGAGTGATGACTGACTTCAAACCTGCTTCAAATCTTCAAACGCCTAGTTTTTAAAAAGAAGTTCAGAGATTCAAAATGTCATGAGAGGTGTGAAAACCTCCTCTCAGTCTGTAAGGCTAAAAAAAAATCCACTCTGAAGCATTCACTGACTGCACTCATACACCAGTGAATAATTCAGTGGTGTAAAAACTGGCTAAAGGTTGATAATATAACATCCATTTGGTTAAACCATAACTACTATACAGCTTTTCATTGCATTATACATTGCTTGCTTAGATTTGGTCCTTTTTTACACAATGTATGGATGGGGCAATAAACTTCCCCAAAGAGGCTTCAGCTCTGTGATGGTATTTAACTGTGCTGGTGATACCACTCAGTGTCAGTCTGCACTGCTGATAATGTGCTTCTGAGTGAAGCAGTACCCTCCCCAGTGCTTTAAGCCAGGATTTAATTTGAAATTAATGAAATACTTTGCCCTGCTAAAGTACTTTTTTGAAGACGCTGAAAACAACACAACACATGTATTCATGAATATAAAACTCTTATTAATGAAGACTTTGCTTCACTTGCGGCGGAAGTCAGCAGTTTGGTGTGAGAAATGATGTGAAGAATGTAAAGAATGTAATGTTTTATAGGCCTCCCCTCCCTCCACACCTCTCTTCCACATTCAGGGTGTCATAAACTCCCTTCCAGTCAATGCCTCGATCCACCGGTCTTCATAGAGCCCCTGCAGGACTGCTGTGCGGATGAAGGAAGTGACATCACTCTGCGGGGGGTTATCACCGGCAGTCAGCCAATCAAAGTGTCCTGGCTGCACAATGGTGAGGGGGTTACACAAGTTACACTGCTGCATCCATATGTTTTCTTTGGTTGAATGTTGACCAAAGTACCCCAAATGCCCCCATTAAGTCATGAAAATAAATATAGCATAACATGTGTGAAATTGAAGACAACAATCAAATTGTTTTAAATTGACATTATAGATATTTATGATTATACTTATTTCAAAACCATGATTTCAAAACATGATGCTCTGCACATTCACATCAAACTGAAACATTCTAGATAAAACAGATAACATTCTTTTACCTTCTTTTTCTGTTACACTTTGCAGTGCCTTTTACTAAGCCTGATTTTTTATTTTATTTAAAGTGTATGTTTAAATAATGTCTGGCAATGCAAAAGCATTTTTAAAGGCAGATACACAACTACAACAGCAACAACATCTTATCTCCTGTATCAGTTGTTGTCCTCCTGGCCCCTCCATTTTCACAAACCCTCTCCTCATTGTACTCTCTAGCACATTACACTAACGAGAAAGAGTGTGTCTAGTGATTTTGTTTGCTTCTATGGGCAGGTGAAGTGGCCCATTTTGGGGGTTCATCCTTCGATGGCAGGGAGATGAGTTTTGTGGTGACAGAGTGCTTACCTGAAGATGCTGGTGCCTACACATGTCTGGCGGAAAACAATGCCGGGAAGACGTCCTGCTGCGCTGCCGTGTTTGTCAAGGGTGAGGAACACATTTAAAATTGAAACGCTGCCTCTTTCAAGCTGTCATGCAAGTTTTCTCATACTCTGATAGCCAGTTTCATTTCTCATGTAAAGTGTCCTCTTCTCCTTTTCCAATCCAGACTTTGAAACTATCTATGGTGCACAGAGTTGTGTCTCAAAGAACCCAACTTCTGCTTCTGAGGGGAAAACACAGAATGGAAGGTCACCACGGTTCCCCAAAGACGAGCCACAGAACTTAAGAGCATCTTTTTGTACCTCTCCCAAAGGCCCCGATAAGCCTTGCCCTGTGTCAAGTTCAAAAGGTAATCAGATTCTGAACCATTGGTAATTTAGGTGCAAATTATCTACCGTTTCAGGGGTCAATGCTTGCTTCCTTAAAAAAAAAAAAAAAAACCTACTCTTTATCACTGTTTTAACCTCCTCTGGTTTTTAAAGTTACATTTTAATACAACTAGGAAATGCATCATTGCCAGTCCTTTTTTTGATTGGCTCTCAGGCAACAATCATATCATTCAGGAAGTATGCAGGACATCCACAACAACGCAGCCTTTTGTAACATCCTCTTGTGGTTCTCAGTCCCAAGTGAACACCATGTAGGGAAATGGACAGCGCACATTAAAGAAGAGCCACACCTCTATGCACCCCTACTAAAACCTACCTGCATTTTCTCTGTCCGTGCAGAAGTCATCCCAAAGAAGAGAGCCAACTCAGGGACAGGTGAGACACACAAACACACACTAATTACTTTTACATCACTTTCTGTCTCTGCCAAATGACCATGTCTGCAAATGTGTTTCCATCATCCACTCACCCTTTCTTGTTGTTAAAAGCTTTACTGTCTTATTTGTCTTCTTCATGGTGATATCCATAAAATTCTGGATTTGTGACGTTTCCTCTGTTTCCTCTTAAGTTTTCGCTGGAGCTGCACTTCCTTTTCAAGACTTTTGTTCAAGCTAAAATGTTTCCACGCTCCAATATATTGTGCTTCTGAATACTGAATCTTAACCTTAGGTTGTATGAGTCCACAAAAAAAAAAAAAACAGGAAAGCTGATATAATGAAGACTGAAAGTATAGTGTTTTCATTGTTGATGGTTTATAAATTATATTGGGGATGGTGATGGCCAAACAGTTAAACTAGCATCTTACAGCTTATTGAAAAGGCAAACTGTTGATTCTTAAACTATTTAAAAGTTCTCTTTATCAGATTGTCTTTAGTCAAATTCTCCATCCTGATGCCGAATTATTTGCATATCAACAGTGTGAGAGGTGCTTTTTACCCGTGTTCATATATGGAATTTTCTAGGTTTATGTAAAGTAATGTTACATGAGTTAACTACAGGATACAGTACAGACTTAAAGTTTGTTTGCTTGCTTGCTTAGAGGACAATGGTCTTTGTCAATAGTTCTACACGTATGGAACATGTAGAACTCCTTCAGGGAGCATGTGAACCAGATTAATAATGTTTAACACACTTGATTACACAGGAACAGGTTTGTGTGGACATAGGTCATCTTTGTTTTGCTTTTGTTTTAACTTGAGACACTAAAGTCTGTTCTTCTGTTTGCTACAATAATAAGGGTCTCAGGGGAGAGCACAAAAGCTTTAACCACACATCACATAATCGCATCCCCCTACAAGACATATTCTGTCTTTTCGTCTTTATCTCACCCACACACACCACACTGGATAGTTTCCTTTAATGAGCAGACAGGCTCTGAGTCAAAACACTAAACACTTTGTTTTTCTTAACAGGAACACCATTACACTTTGAAAACCCTCCACAGCAGGTCAACGTTGAGTTGGGCAAACCGCTCAGAGTGTCGTGTTTATTCAGAAGCAGCGCTCCTGTTGTGTCCTGTTGGATCAGAAATAAAGAACAGGTGCTGTCAGTCTAAAGCTGGTTTTACAACATATCCACTTTTTTGCTATTTTCCAACTGTCTCTCAGTTTTTATAACCCTTCTCTCTCTCCTTTCTCTTCAAATCTGCAGATAGTGGATGGTCCGGAGCTGTGGGCAGAAAACACTGATCAGTGCAGCACTCTTGTAATTGCAAAGGCTAAACCACAGCACACAGGTCGCTACACCGTGGTAGTGAAGGACCGCAATAGCTCAGCACAACACACACTCACTCTTTCTGTAATAGGTAAGACAACAGTATCAGGACCATGTGAAGAAGGTTTGTATGGTGCTGTATGATACAAAGGATTTCCATTTAGGAAAAAGGCTGCAAATCAAACCCAAAACAAATCAATTTAGTGCAATTACGGGCTTGCAGCAAATACTTAAACAATGCAATATCAAAACACACATACCCGGAAAAAAGGCAACTGAAAAATAATTCATAGCCAGATGTGCAGCTCATTTAAATTTGCAGCACATTTCAGTTGTATTTTTTTTGTATTACTTGCATTAGCCCCTATGAGCCCCTGTGGATTTGCAGTTACTTTAACACTTTTTCATTAACTCTCCCTTCAGAGAGGCCGCAGCCTCCAGCTTCCTGCCCTGTGATCTCCCTCATCTCCATCACCAGCCTCGTGCTGTCTTGGTCGGGCCCTTGCTACGACGGCGGCAGTGTTGTCCTGGGTTATGTGGTTGAGGTAAAGAACAAAGGTGGTGCTGAGCCTGGTGAATGGAGAGAACTCACTGCCCAGTGTAAGAGTACATCATACAGAGTGAGCTCTGGGCTGCAGCCTCAACAGGAATACTGTTTCAGAGTGAGGGCCTACAACACAGTGGGAATAAGTGAGCCGGGACCAGTGTCACCAGTAGTAAGGATGGAGCAGAAAGGTGAGGGGCAATGGGTTAGCGACCCACTTCTTAAAAAGAGTTTAACATAATGATGTTTCAATTACAGCTCTGCTTTATTTCATTTATATTTAGACAAACCACAAGAAGAGGAACCCCCTCAAGCCTATTCCTGTGTCACTATTGACTCCTCCAACAAAGTTACTGATCACTACAATTTGCTTGAAAAACTGGGAATGTAAGTATCGATGAGGAGGACCAAAATCCATTTTCATGAAAACCTTTTTAGAAGTAAAAAGCACTTTTTTTTTAGAAATCTAGATAAACAAGAAAGCTTGACATTTCCTGTGAAAGTCTTCAGGCAACCCACGCAGAAAAGTTCACTGCCAAGTACAACAGAATGGGGATTTTCAACATGTAGCGACATGGCTCTACCCCTAATAAACTACAGATGTACAGTGATCAAAGTTGTGAGGAAATCAGTTGTGAGGAAATCAGTGATCAAAGTTGTGAGGAAATCAGCAGTTACAGATAACATCTTTTATTCTCCAGAAATAAAAACAAATGACAAAACAAACTTGTATCTGTCTTTATCAGGGGAAAGTTTGGTCTAGTTTTCAAGCTAACCCACAAAGAAACTGGACGTGTGTGTGCGGGGAAGTTCTACAAAGGTCGACGTGCCAAGGAGAGAGAGGCTGCTCGTAAAGAGATTGAGCTGATGAATTACCTTCACCACCCTAAACTGGTTCAGTGCATCGCAGCATATGACCACAGGCCTGAGATGGTCATGGTCATGGAGTTGTAAGTATCACCAGGAAAGCACAAAGTGGTTGATTTATAGAAAAATTCCTGAAAATTCCGCAAGAAATCTAGCAACAACTTGCTGTCGCTGTTGTTTGTCTCTGTGTAGTATCGCAGGTGGAGAACTGTTTGAACGCATTGTGGATGACAGCTTCGAGCACACAGAGCCGGCCAGCGCGCACTACATGCAGCAGATCCTGGAGGGGATCGCCTACATGCACCAGCAGAACATCGTTCATCTGGACCTGAAACCTGAAAACATTGTGTGTGTTGACACCACTGGCACCTCCATAAAGATAATCGACTTTGGATTAGCCAGCAGGCTTGGTATGTGAAAAGAAACTCGCTTAGTACAAACACGGTATTCTGGTGTATAGCCTCAACATCAGATTGTGTGATTTATGTTTAACAGATGGAAAAACACCTCTGAAGGTGATGCATGGGACTCCAGAGTTCGTGGCACCTGAAGTGATTAGCTTCGAGCCTGTTGGTCAGGCCACTGACATGTGGAGCATCGGGGTCATCTGCTACATATTGTGAGTCACAGTTTCAGTCCTCTATACCTTTCTATATGAAATATTTAAGCAATTGGAAAGCATACTTTCCTGATGACACCCTAACAACTACAAAGCTAGAGCCAGTTTTATGAGCTCAGCAACCTAAGGTACAAGCTGTACAGACTAAACAAACTAAATACAACGTCTTAACTACTTAACTTTCTTGTTAGCATTAGTTTAATTTTCTATTAATTTAAGAGAAGCTTTAAGGTTGATTTAGTTATCCTTAGACAACAAACTATTTGCTTCCCCAATCTCCATCTTTCCAAGGGGTGCTAAACTAAGCTAAGCTAAGCTAAATGGCTTCTGGGGGTGGCATCAACCACGATTTAGACATGATGATGTATCAAACTTGTCATCTAACTCACTCAAAAAATCTAAATCTAATCTAATTCATGAATTTACAACATTAAAACATGTGAAAATGTTTCTTCTCAATTTGTTGCCTGAAAATTGTGTGACAACTGGAATTTTAGTAAAGGTACCAGGTTAAACCAGTGTTGTAAAACAGCTCAATGTAGCCTATCAAACTGACCTCATTAATTTTGCCTTGCAGACAAAAAGCCTTTTATCAGCTTCAGTTAAATCAGACTGTGCTGGTGGGGTTTGCCATGATGACATAGTTGACTGTAGCTGACTGTCGTTGAAACACTTGACTGACTTTTGACGTCCCCTAGTGGACAAAAGACGAAACATCGAAACCGTGGATCGAATGACAGCTAATGTCTGTCTTCCTCTGGTTTCTAGACTGAGTGGTGAGTCTCCTTTCCAAGGTAACAGTGATGCAGAGACCCTGGCCCTGGTGACAGCCGCCCAGTGGGAGTTTGACGAGGATAGCTTTGATGAGATTACAGACGAGGCCAAAAATTTCATCAGCTCCTTGCTCAACAAGGACACAAGGTGATTTCATGAATTTAGACTTATATATCAGCCTTCTCAATCATCTTCACATTACTACTTGTAAAACTGGGTATCTCTCAGGCGGAGGATGTCCTGTGAAGAAGGTCTTGCCCACCCTTGGATGGCAGCATTTGACTCTAGAGATCACACCACCACCAAGAATCTGTCCAAGGAGAAGATGAAGAGGTTTCTAGCCAGGCAGAAGTGGAAGGTGATACCTCAGAAGAGCAGTTTTTGGTAGTTCTTTGAGATTGAGGTTAATGTTTCTGCTCCAAACTTTTTACTTTTTTTTGTCCCACAGAAAGCAGGTAAGGCCTTGTTAGCACTGAAGAGAATGGCTCTGCTGTCTAAGAGTGATAGCTCTGGATCTCCTACCTCCCCTGGAGAAGGTAAGACATTAAAATTATTTGATGATTTAAAGTATGAGGTATAAGTCCCATCCCCTTCTTTCATATACGTCTGACCTATCTCAATCCCAGACTCACCACTGAGCCCAGAGGCACAGCACGCCCTCCAGTCTCTTGAGCGCCAGATGCAGGGCCCACCCAATTTTACCCAGAGCCCAAAGGACCAGGCTGTAGCTCAGGGATCCTGTGCCAGGCTTTCATGTCACCTCACAGGTACACGACTGTGTTTCTTGAGATCCTCTTTCAAGAGCCTTAGCTTTGCCTGTGATTGTCTTTGTGAAAGTTTTTTGTAGATTTGTAGATGTGCCTTGAGAATGAAACTCAAATCAGACTGAAGCCACATTTGAAGACTTGCTGGACTTGACAAAATCTGTTGCATTGTGTCCCTGGCCTCTCTTCTATCTTGAAGGATACCCTGATCCAGAGGTGGTGTGGCTATGTGGTGAAGAGCCTCTGGAGGAGTCATCAACAGTGCAGATAGACTACAAGGAAGATGGGCAGTGCACCCTCGTCCTAGCCAAAGTTGGTCTAGAAGATGCCAATGTTTACACCTGCAGGGCTACCAACGACCATGGGGAGGCATCACGCTCAGCCAAACTCACTGTTATGGAGTAGATTTATTATTCTGATGAATGCACTCACAAAAAACTGTATGAACGTAACATTCTCGAGTGCCTTGAACAGATGTATTGTATATTCTTGTTTTTAATTCAGTAAGAACCAAACTGAACATTCTGTAGTGTGGCTGGACATGTATGAAACATGTATTATTGTACAAAATGTATGAACAGATTAATATAGTGACATAGCTGCAAACATACATAAAGGTTTATATTTCTTCATGGAACTAATGTGTGGTTATTCCTTGTTTAAAAAAAAAATATATATATATATATATATAATTCTGACGTCTGCAAAAAGTTCTTTAACCGCATGATTTCACTCAATCCTGGAGTTCATAATGAGAGGGACCCTTTGAAAAAATCATCTTCAAGTGCACAGTGTTGGCTCGATCCAGTTGTTGGATGAATTTTCATCCTCCACATCCCACTGTTCTCTGGGAGGAGAACTGCTTCGCAGTGCCGGAACCTGTCAAGAGGGTAAATTAAAAAAAAACCTTTACATAGCAATGCAGCTTTTGTAACATCTTTAACATCTAAAGTACAATTAATGTGAGGGTGAAGGCATAACAGCTGCTCTATGTGGCTGAGTCCTTCCCTGATTAAATAAATAATATGTACAAGTATTTTACATGTTCTTTTCATTTTTGTGGTGTATGGGTGTGGGCCAAAGTTAAGGCCAAACAAATAAGGCGTACTAACAACCTGCTTTAAAATTACTCTCTAATACTGTAGAAGGATATCAGTGGAAAATGCTCAAAGCTTCCAGTCATTTTCTCTGTGAGCTCTAGAAAAAGCCTGGAGTGTATCAAACTACAACAAAAAAATAATACATTTAAGAATGATATTTCATTATATGTATATTATAGAATTACCATAAAAACATGGGCTAAGTGTTACTTCTAGTCACACACTGTAGCTTCAGTAAAAAAAAAAAAAAAAAACGTTTTGCAACTCGGCCTTAAGAAGTGTCCTTTTTAAAATAAAAAAGTGTTTGTCTTCAGATTATGTTGTTTTTCTAATGAGGTATTGAAAACTTGATGACCACTTCTGTCTACATGCTAATGAAAGATTGCCAATGCTATTATTTATAGAGAACAGGCAGAATATCGCTTTAAGGCAAAAGGATTTGTATTTGACAGTTTTTGTCTGATTTAAGAGCCGCCTGATTTCAGTCTAAAATTGTATCATTCATTAAACTGAGCCACTGACAAGCTTTTTTTCTCTCTAAAAGTTATAAGTCACACTTAGGACTACGCACTTTTTCCTTTGGACTTACCCTAACCCTTAGGTCATTGAGAGTTATATATTTCAATAAAAACTCTAATCTGGCCATGAGCACCGGACTATTACATTTTGACTTAAAAATGTCAAAAATTTTCCACATTTTCTGAGATATACAATGCATGTATATGCAATGAGACAAGGACATTGTTTAAAAAAATTAGAGCCTTTTAATTCTACCAACAAAAATAAATCGCTTTACAACAAAGAACCCTTATCTCTTTTACATTACTAAACAGTGGAGTCTGTACATTGTATTCATTCATTTCCCTTAAATAAATATATATGTACAAGAGGTTATATAAATTCCTTTATAGCGTCAGATAAAAGGTTTTAAGTATATTCAATGTACAAAGCAACTCAAGCTTAAGGTTACGAGTTAGTGCAAATAGAAGATTAAGCTGCTGTGAAAGAGCCAGTGTTGACAGGAGAGAGAGAATGCTTTGGTCCAGGTGGATGTGGATCGTGAGAAGGTAAAAGTGGTCTCCTCATGTTGACCGCCTCCTCAATGACGCCTCCTGTTGGCTACTGTAGAGCGTTGCAGCTCGTGATTCAAAGGCACCGATCATCTGCTTCACCACTTCATCAAAGAACAGGCTGGCTAGCTGAGAGTGCAGAAGAGATCTGAACTCAAATGACACCTACAGAGAACACGGGAAGAGGAGGAACATGTAAGCACACCATTTATAAGTGTCTTTATCCTCAGTTTTACAGATTTCTAGAAATGATCTGAAGACAGACCCACAATAATGTCAGTTCAAAAGACCACAATCTAAATATAATTGAAAGATCATCATGTCAATCAGACCTTACAGTATTTGATAATCAGTCCAGTTTATTCAACATGCTCTACTGAAAGTAGACAACTTCCTGGCTGAGTCAGAGCTGATCTAAGTTAAACTCTTGACAGCAGCTCTTTAACCCTGTTTTGGCCCGAGGGCTATTTCAGGCCGCCTTGGACACTAGTCTGCTACACGAGGCTAAATTTAGAGCATAATGAGATTGTACTCAGCACTTCCTTTTAGTGAGTAATCCATTCACAAAGGAACAAGAGTGACGTTATAAGTGCACTATCTGATCCGATGTCCAATGAGAAAGTCATTCAGTTGTTTTTAAATTGCATGGACTCATTGCAGAATGCAACAAATGATGTTTGTGGATGCCACATAAAAACCTGATTTGCTGAGATATTCATTTTATCGTATGCGCTTACATAGAAGTCCACTTTGCAGGAAGCTGAAACGTCTTTGTCTCCAGGGGCAAACCTCCATATTGTTTCAAGATGGCTGAAGAGGGATCCATCAGTGCACAAAGCCTGTTTGCAAAAAAAAAATCAACATTTCTTATCATCAACTGAAAAAACACATTGATTATTCCCTGGGTAAAAGCCTCTTCAGGGATTTGTTTTTTTATCTCTACTCTCTAAAGATTTACAGAAAAAGTTTTCTGCAACTGACATTCTATACCCTAAAAAAAAAGACACATTCACAGGTGTCTCTTTAAGCCATTAAGAATGTTCTTTCAATTGATCAGTGAACTAGCAAAAAGGGACATCTTTAACATGAAAAAGGAATTAGTGGAGAAAAGAGTAGGAAGTCAAAAAAAAAAACTGACAGACAGAATGTGGAAGTTCCTCTAAAGCCTGCTCATGCTTGTTCAAAGACAGCTATTACTGTAATTATGTTCGCCAGACAAAGCTCCCACTTCTCTCTTAAAAAGCTCAGTCAAAGATATGATTTTTAACATAAACAGAAATTATTATTTTTATGATACTTAGTCCCCTTCTCTTAAGTCACTGGCGCCTCATCACTGACCAAGTTCAGAGGTAGGAAATAACCTTTGATAGACAATAAAAGAAGGAATATAAAAAGTATTTAGGACCTACCCTGACTTGGTGGTTTGGGATGCAGGTGACCTCAGACGAGTAGCGCTCCAAGATGGGGGGGAAACCTATTTCGAGCTTCGCCAGGACATGACCATTTGGTCCCTTCACGACCCGTGACTTCGTACACCAGGGCACAAAGTGATGGTACTGGTTGATATTCGCCACCAAATCGTACATCTGCGCTGGAGTATACCTGAGAACAAAGTCACATGAAAATGCACACCCAATTAGATAATATCACCATTTTATTACAGAGCATACTTATCAAATTGTTTTTAAATGTAATATTTAGTTTTAGTTTTGAGCAAGCAAATGTTTTCTTTTTAGCTTAAACTGACCTCCAACTTTCATTTTTCAATAAGGCAAAATAAAAGGTTGCCTTACTGTGCATGTTAAAAACAATCAACACTTTTAATTCATATAATCATGTTAATTATTTTTTTTACAAGAAGAAACACTCATTTTAGTTGTGTATTGTGTGTTTTGTTGTTTTATGTCCTCTCCAATTACTTCAGTATTGTTGTATTATCTAATGACACTCACCCTAATGTCCGGCATTCAGAGTACTCCATCCTGCGGGTGCTGATGGGAGCAACCAGGTGAATGAAGCCCCGGCTAGTTGTGATGGTTGGGATGGTTGGGCAGAGAGGCAAGCTGGCTCTTCTAGCTACCAGGGCACCACAGGAGCTCAAGCGTCTAAGGGGCAGAAATGTTATATTGACACCATGAATGTGGAATGAGTTTGTGGGAAATGTAGAAGGATCATTCGTGGTTTAATTACAGTCAGGAATCCTGTGGCATCTAGCATTCATTTTAATGGGCCAGTAAATTTAGTCTTAAGGGTGCTTAACAATATAAAAGGTTTGCACAAGTCATTTAGCCAATAATGTAAATTAAAACTATTTTAATAAAATGTAGGATCATTAATTTATAAAATTACTACAAGGGAAGTGTAGCATGTATTACGACTTTATTAATGAAAATTTAGCTGGATTCTTGCTCCCCTTTTAGACTGCTTTTGATGCCATTTTTTAAAAGTAAGACAAGACTGAGGAAAGACGACTCTCATGTTACATCAACACCGGAAGTTAGGCTACTTTTCAAAATAATTGAAAGTGAAACAGAAAATAAACTTTACTATTATACAAATAACACTTAGATAATAATAAAAAAAATTCTAAAACCGTAGAAACGTAGCCTAAATTTAAACAAAAGACCACAATTGAGTAGGCCTACCTGAGTGGAACTCTGAGGGAATATCGCCTGACGACTCACCTGGTATTAGCTATTTTGGTGTTTCCTCGCACAACTTTAGCTGAGTGTGCTTCGGACACGTCCAGCAGTGCCTTCAAAAGAAGTGGGGTCGTTTTATTGGCCATGATGAAGTTTCTGTCCGAAAGTTTCGGTAGAATTCCTCTTCGAGACGCCGGTTGTTTCAACAAAAAGCTGGCAGCAGAAGCAGTAACACCGGCTCTGCTCTTGCCTGTTGCACGGTATACCAAATAAGGACTGTAATGACGTAACAGGAGGAGCATTTTAATCTGGCCAATCAGAAAGAAAGGTTGCTACATTTTAAAAGCGGACCTTGATCCCTTATACCCAAATGATTCATTATTGTTCTTATAATTAATGTTATCGCATGCAAAAGGAAAAGAGCAATTTTATAAGATATTCAGGGGACTTATTTGTTTTATTGACTTACAAATTTGTCTGCATACATTTTTAAACTCTTCCATTTATTATATATATTATATATTAAATCATATGTTATAATTAAATTGCAAATGACATTGAATTTACCAATGCTGGTGCTGGTGGAATATGTGCGTTAAGGAACCTTAAACAGAACCATGTGTAACTTCATGTTAGTCACAAAAAAAGGCCACATTTTTTTGTTGATGTTTAATTTCTGATTTAATGTAATTTAACCATCTTTATACTTTTCTAGGCCTTCTTGTTTTTATTAATATTTTCAAATATATATTTTTTTAATTTTAGTTGTATTGTTGCTCATCTCCTCAGTCTTACTTAGAATTAGACACATGGAGTTCCTTTGGACTGCAATAGGTAAAAATACAACAAAAAAACGGAAAGCTTTGACTTACGCACAGAATTTAGACTGACAATTGATATTTTCCTCAAGCAAGCAGAAGCATTAATTACATGGTGAGCAAATCTATAGCCTAAATGCTGTGCGCATGACACACCTGGAATTTGGTCTTGGAGCAGAAGCTCTAAAACATTTCAGACCATAAAACCCCTACAAGTATATACCAAACCATATGTCCAAGTCCAAGTCCAAATTAAAAAGTAGTTTTTTTTTCACAGGATTTTTGTTTGTTAACAATTGTGTTGCTGGTACACGTGTCAAGTCACACCCACTCTGTACACACATTAGAGTTTAAAAAATGTAACAAAACTGGTTTAATATGAATGATATGGGCTACCTGGAGTGCAGTAGCATGTACATGGGGTGGTCTAGAAGGTCATCATTTAAATATACATTTAAATGAAATGTAGTTGGGTTCAAAGCATAGTAATAGTACGAGAATCATTAAACAACAGAATTCAATAGTTTACGAAACAAAAAAAAGTTTATATTTAACACATAAGCCTTTACCTTACTCTTTAAATACTGCTTTGCAGTAAAAGCCTGTTTAAGGCTCCTAGAGGTGAAACTCTCTTAGTACTGTGGAATAGGCTAATACAACCAGAACTGGCAGTGCTGGGGAGCTTCAGACCTGAATTAGGGCTCTTGATCTGCAAGGGATTTGAAAACTCAGTCGATCCCAATATAGGACAGAAAGGTAACATATAGTTTGACAAAAAACCTATCTAAGACTATAAGAGAACAGGGATTTAGCAGGCTTATCCAACAGTTACATAAGGGATGAATGCTGATCCAGCTGGCCCTCCTTTATCTTTGAACCTTGAAGTGATCCAAAAAGGGGCATTAATCTTTCTGCATACAGTTAACTTTCACAATCTAAGCAAGTGTTTCTTAAGTTTTCATAGTTATTTTTTATTTCTCTATGTGCAAAATTATTGTTCCTCATCTGAGAAAATGATTTTGCTCATTGCACCGATGTAGGTCAGACCATCGGGTTCTGTGATCTTCAGTTTGGTGAGAGGTGGAATGTCACCACTGGTGAAGTATCTGAAGGCAGGGCAGGGTGACTGGATGGCATCCAGAAATACCTTTGAGATGAACACAAAAACACAGAGACAGCAGCTGAACCAAGGAAATGTGGTTTGGAGGAGAGGGCTGGATTGTTTAGAGCAGGTGCTGATGATTTGTGATGTATTAACTAATAACACATAAATATTACAGAAAAACAAGGTTCTGCAAGTGATATTCAGCTTGCTGAGAAAGCAGTCACCCAACTAAAATCCTGGGTTTAGAGTGCAATAAAATAAAACAAAAAAACAAGACTGATAACTACAACTTCACCTCAAAAAATCTAAACTATCAGTTTACGACCCTGAGCCAGAGTGTAGCCTAATACAGGCTTCTTCCTATCAAACTTTTATCAACCTTATTTCATTTAAAGAAAACATGTAAAAACATTACTGTTTCAGAGTGGTGGGATAGGGTTTAACAGCCATATGAGCGTCAAAACTTCATTTTTTTTAAGTGTCATGTGTTTTCATATTAATTCTTTTTCTTTTCACACAATGAACAAATGTAATGAAAATACAAAGAAATAAAAGCCAGTGGTGGGATTGTGTGTGTAGTATAAATGTAAATCTGATTAAATAAAAATAAAAAACACAACATAATGGCATTGATATCAGCATAAAAAAAATGCTTTCACCAGCACTGTTACATGTTGTGAATGTCTCGTGCAGTTATGATTAATTGAACATATAGGTACAACATACCTTTACAATTTCCTCTGTGTCCTGTGCTGCATTTTGGAAAACGGAGCCACAGTGCTGCAAGTACTTTTCATAGAGACTGAGTGTGTGGGGGTCAACCTGTTTGAGAGATGAATCCCCAAGCTCTGCCTTCTGCAGGTTGACCAGGAAGTCGGTGTTGACGGGTCCACACTCAATGAGACTCACACTACAGGATGAGCATTGAGTCAATAACTGTTCTATTTTTTTTTTTTTTTGACTAGTCTCTAGCCTGAAGGGAAAGTTGAAAACAGTAACTTAGAAAACTTACTGAATATTGAAGTGTTGCAAGAGGACTGCCATACTCTCACATGCTCCCTCGACTGCAAATTTACTGGCACAGTACAGCTCATTAAAAGGCAGACCTGCAAGAGTGCATGAAGTACAGACGGGTTATTTTGGCAATTTCATGCATGGAAGCAAACCCCCAAATTATTTGTTTTTGCAACTTCTTTGAATCATGAATCATCATTGTTGACATTCAGAGATTCCTCAGCCATGAACTTGTCTCACCATGAAGGCCTCCTGTGCTGCCAGTGACCAGAATGCGGCCCTGGCCCTGAGCCTTCATGCCTGGCAGAAAGGCCTGGATGGTCTGGATGGTACCGAGGAGGTTGACGTCCAGAATCTGCCTCATGGAGTCCAAGGATTGTGCCTCCAGTGGCCCCATCAAACCCACACCAGCATTGCATACTGTGGTGAGTATAAGCGTGCTCAGACACACAAATGATCATTTTAAACATGACACAGTGACACAAGACATACCTAAAATGTCCACTCTTTTCTCCACAACCCGGTCCCTCGCATCCAGGATGGACTGCTGGCCAGTCACGTCCATTTGGAGAATGTCCATTGTGTCCCTGTGCAGACCTTTGACACACTCTAAAAGACGCTCCTTCTTAGCCAGGTTTCTCATTGTGGCGTAGACTAAACAGAAAGCAACATGAATCATGAATACCTTTCAAAGTTTTCTCCTTTTACAGATTATTTAACAACACAATGTAAAGCTCTGTTTGCGGTGTAAGTTTCAATTCAAAGTTTTTTGTAATAACCGTTCCTCACAGTGTGGCAGGCTCTCTAAGAACACAATTAAAGACCATGCTTGGCAGATGTCAGCTGTTGTTACCTTTATATTCCTTGTTGGGGTCAGAAGCCAGCCGAACAGCCAGGCTAAGGCCGATGCCAGAGGAGCAGCCTGTGATCAGAACCACCTTCTTATCCATGGAGTCTGGCTCACTGGTGCTCTGCTCTCTAAAAAGCAACTGGAAAAGAGAGGACAAGATGGAGTTATGTGAAGTGTCTTTTTTCTCAGTGTTTTCATTTTTTTGTCTGACACAAGGACATTTAACTCTAAACATTTCCTATTATCAGAAACACTGAACCCTCACAGATTTTTCCCATGTCCTGAATTGTGTAGTTTGACTTTTTTCTCATTGAGATGTGTGGGAAACATTTCTGCCCTTTTTATTGTTTGTTTTTTAGCCTTTTTTGAACTGTAAGTGACATCAATGATATAGGCTGTAAATTAAACATGAACTTGGAGGTGTATTGACTAGAATGTCTAAGACTACTGTGAGGTTTTATACATTTCAATTAAATGTATCTTTTTAAATTGACAAAGTCATGCAAAAATTAAACTTAACACTAAAAATTGTGCTTGTTTGCATTATTTCTATAAGCACTAGGTGGCAGCAAAACATCACAATACCAGTCCTCTATTACAAGACAGGCCATCTCCTATTCCATTGACCACATACGCTCCATGTAACAGAATACAGCCAAAAGGAAAGATGGTTTGTGGGTTTTAGTCTAAGAGATCAGGAGAGAAAATCGCTGAGTAGCCATCTCATAAGCTCTCAAAATTAGAGCTCTTGTCCCTTTTTTCCAGCATGGTGTGCAGAGAAATTGTCAGGTCTAACAGAAAAGTGATATTCACTGATGCAATCCCGACCTGATAGTTTTATCATGGTTTATAAAGACACACAGAATTGCCAAAAATCTTCTAAATCTGTGCAGTCATCTCAGTTCAAGAACCTTCATATTGTAAGCTTTGAGCACTAAATGTATTTCTGCTAGTAAGTGGTCCTAGTTGAGATTATCCTCCTCACACATACTTAGTCCCAAAATTAAGAAAAAACTTTAGTGCACATAAATCAAAAATAGTGGTAAATCAGAAAAATGCTATTTACATCTTAACAGATCTTTATAAGCCTTGTCAACCGCCTTTGACAGATCAAACAAAGGCATTAAAAATCTGCAAATAAAATCATTAGGCCCAGAGAAAATGCAAAGGGGGAAACTGGAACATTTGGTAGCAAAACAATTCCAACCAAAGCTCGGCCTATTAAGGGATCTATCATGCATGTACTAAGCAGTGACTGGAAAATATTGTGTGTGATTATAAGAAGTAAACATGAGCTTGTGAGTTTTCACTAGGTGGCAACAAAACCTCAGGTAGTCATTGATCTATCAGAGCTGTAGAGTCTAGAAAGTGAGTGTAGATCCAAAATGTCCCATTTTTGTTTATACTGTGTCCTATTGAATTCAATATTGATGAATTAGTGTTTAAAGTTGGTTTTGTGAAAAAGCCTCCAAGAAATAGGTATTTTGTAATACTGAGATGTCATGTCTTCTCTATCTCCTATCTCATACCTCATCTCTCTCACTTTCTTTTCATGCCTTGTTGCCTTCTTTATGCATTTCCACATGTACTGACCATTCTCCTATGTCTGAGTTTCTGGCATGTCAAAAGACCATTTCAGCAGCCCGATTTAAAAGAATTTCTTCTGCTGTGGGAGCAAACCCAGTAGGAATTTCCTGCTATTTTGTTGCGTTCCTCCCATTGAGATGGCATCAGCCTGGCTGCTGTCCCAGAGTCTGTGGGACAGATTACAGCCGACCTTGAACCACTTTCAAATATCTACGATTAGCAAGCATTCAAAATCTGACCTCAGAACTGAGGGCTACTGTGTGCCCCCTTTTATGTCATATGCTTATCTTTTTCAGACTAAAATGTTTAGTGCCTTGGCTAATGGATATTGTATTTCTACTGTTCTGTAGAGGACATGAAATACACCCACGTTTTTGAGTGTAGTGTGCAAATTGGTTTAACTTTGGACAAAATTCAAATGCAAATTAGGTGTACCATCCTCACTCAACCAAAAACAAATCAAAACTCTGAGGTACGGGATGTACTTCATCCTTGAGCTGTCTCTGTATCCATCCTGACAGCATGGTACAGTCTATGGTCCATGGTCTGGTGCAGTTGGGCACCTTCCTGCTACACGTGGCCTAAAGTTTCCCCCTGGCTCAGTAACTACCAACAGAAGGTTGAGTGGTGGTGCACAATGGTCTGGAAAAGCCATGAAGCACCTCCAGGACAAGATAAGCCAAGAGTCAACAGACCTCTAAGACCTTATGATAACTTTGTGAATGTGCAAGAACATCCCCCCTGCACAGCAGTGTGTCCTATAGGGAAAAGTAAAGTATCTTTTGGATATGGAGCTCAAGTTGGAAAGTTAAGAGAAGAAGAATTATGATTCTCCACTGTAACTGCATGACAGGAGTGTCTGCTACATGCTTTAAGAGAGAAAGAATAACAGTTTCCTTGTGTTAGTCCATTTATGTGCTGAGTATTTCATGTTGGATGTACCAGTAAAGACTGCATGGTGCATGCACAATATGAAGGTTGTAACAACAACTTCTGTGGCTTCAGAAACAGATGCTCTTGACAGGATGTCCCATGTGAGAATGATGAGCAGAAGCGAAACATCTGAAGACGTGCGCACGTCAGGGATGTGGTGAGGCTGAAATGTCACGCTACACTATCAAGAAAGGTAAACGTGACAAATTTACTGAAGGCATTTCATCTGAAAGGAAAGCGATAGAGCTTAAATTTATCTGGCATGTAACCTCACTATTCAAGTAGCGGATACAGCTGGGTTAAAGGCCTTTGAGGCAACTAGGGTCAAACTTGTTTCTAATTATAAGACAGGATGATTAAGTTTGGTGTCTTTTGGTGTCTCATTTTTGTGACCAGCAAATAGCAACCAGAGTTGGTCGTAATCTGCCCAGTAAGAAAGATACTTTCTTTTATGTGGTGCTTACATTTAAAATGACATATCTGCGGAGGCTTTAGTCCTCTGGGCGGGCGGCCCGGGTTCGAGTCTGACCTGTGGCTCCTTTCCTGCATGTCATTCCCAGGCTCTCTCTTCATCTCCCCGATTTCTTATTTCTTTATCCCCTGTCTTATCTCAAAACCTTAAGAAAAGAAAGTATCTGGCTTTTGTTCTTGTTTGTGTCAGGATTCAACATATTGCTCTTAGTTTAAGTGTTGAAGAATAATATGTAGTAACAATAGAAAGTATTGCCTGTTCTGTGAAACCCATCCACTGAGAATTTAAACCAGGAAATAAAAAACTGAACCAGCCGCTATAACTTTAAATGGCTAGACTGCTGACTGATGAAAGATTCTGCACCTATAATCCCCCCTTTGCGGATGAAATATACTTCAATATAGAGTAAAGACAGAGAGAGAGCCTGAGAAATGCACAGTGCATTTTTCACAGGGGTAAAAAAGAGGAAGTGTGGCTGGCTCCTTTCTGCTAAAATCATCATGGCTGAAACAGGAGAGGACGTGTGGAAAGTATGAATGGTTTTGAACACACCAACAAAGTAGCAGAATCAGCTCCTTTTAGAAGGGATACAGTTTCCTGAAACCATTTTAGTATGTTTAACTTAATCATTATGTATGAATTAATCTTATATGTCAGAAATCAGTATTAACGAGAAAGCTGCAGCCCATATTGCATTATGCTCAGTTCAAGACCAAAACAAACACAACAAAAATGGACCACTATTTGGAGTGGGAGTACAATTTTGCGGTGGGGACAAGGAAGGGATCTGGCTTAACCTCAAATGTCAAAGGTCAATGGCTCCTGTCATCAGAGGGTAGGACGTTAGGTCTTGCCCCATGTACCCACATGTCAATCCCTGCTCTCTCATCCCAATTTACTACTCTATCCACTGTCCTGACAAATTAAGGAATAAAAGCCCAAAAATAAATCTTAAAAAGTTGATTTGACTGCTTGTTTAATTTTAATTACTGTACACTAAAAAGTTGAGGACATTATTTTTCAATTATTTTCTATCCCGCAGGCCTACCTCCAAAAACTAGACCTGACCTGTATTTAGCTCAGATTAAATGATGTCTCTGTGGTGGTTTTAGCTGCAGGACAAAGCAGGATAGTTTCCACATGCATACCTGCTGCAGCTGCACCATGATAGGAACTATAGTTCGGTTAACAGGCACAAACTCAATATCTGAACTCTGTATCAGTGGTTTGCTCCACTGAGAGATCCAACTGTTCGATAACATACATAAAGACATTTTTTTTTTTGCCTGTGTGAGTGCAGATCTCATCAGTGAAGGTTTGATGGGGTCAACTTTCTCGTCTGGAAAGGAAAACACAGTTTGAGACATCAGATGACTGAGGTTACTCAGGAAACCTTAAATGGGTCAATGGGATGTGAAGCATTGACGAAAAGGACAAGGTAACCTTAACCATTACATTTTATTATAAATATATTCACAGTCCACATTCATGCACACATTCCAATGTTAATCTTTTATTTCTTGGCTCTCTTTCTTTGTTCCAGGTGCAGCAGGCGGAGAAGGCCCGGCACTCAATGCATCACTACCTCACCTGTGAAGTGGTGAAATGAAGTGATGGGTGGTGGTGTGTTCTTGCACGGCAAGTGACTCAGCTATACTGGTATTTACCTGGCACTGAATGCAGACATGTTTTGGTACTAACACTCTCACCCCACACAGGTGTTACACCAAGTGAATTCCTCGTTTTTTCCATGAGTGGGCCTCGGTTTCTCTGTCTGTCTGAATCATTTCTAAATTACGCTTTTCATGTGTCCTCTTGCCTTCACATAGACGAAGATGTAATCAGCAGGCTCTCCACCCACAACCGGGTTACCTGGATACCCTCTGTTTACAGTTGGGTTTGGACAAACCATAACTATGAGGGCATTGTGTTAATATGTATTATAGTAAGTGACATGTCTTTTCACATAAACCTCACGTCGAACATTTTCTAAAACATATTTTGCATACCTTCCCCTGACTCGCTCTTTTCCTGTTTTCTGAAATTCTAAAGAAAGCCACTTCCTCTCTCTGTCAAACCTGCACTTCAAATAAAAGGAGATGAAAATGATCTGCACTTGAGATATTAAGTGCTTA